GGTGGGCCGCGCTGGCCTCCGGGCCGCCCGCAGCCTCCGCCTCCCCCTCCAAGCACCAGCGCATCCCCTCCCGCTCCAGCGCCTCCTCCGGCCCCAAAGCGCTCTCCCCCCACTGCGCCCCCCGTGGCAGGTCTCCCCAGCAAGAGGCGACGGACCAGAGACGCGGACGGGCTGGGAAGGCGGGCAAGGACGGGAGGGCGTGAGGGGCCAGCCCCCGCCAGGCGCCCCGTTCACAGCATCCCCAGCCCAGCACAGCGGTCAGTCACCCAGGGACGGCGGGGCCCAAAGGACCGGCCTGGGGACGGCCAGCGCCACGTGTGAAACACACAGAGGACGTCCAAGACTCACACCAAAAAGGAGCGTTAGAATCTCGGGAACAATTTCTACAGTGATGATGTTGGAACGATAACATTTTGGGGATATCGGTTTCAATAAAACGCATTATTTGAATTCACTTCATCCGTTTCTGTTCACCTCCTAACGAGGTTGTTAGAAAACTCCAGACGACACGCGGGGCTTCTCCGAGGCTCTGCTGGACGGTGCTGCCTCAGACACGACCCCGTCCACACCCGCGGCCAGTCCCCTTCAGCGGGTCAGCCATTTCCGCTCTGACACCGGGGTTGGCCACCCCTCTCAGTCTGCACACGGCGTGAGGTAGGGCCCAACTCTGTCCCTGGACATTCGGTCCGTGTCCACGCGTGTGCCTCTGTCAGGGACAGCCAGTCACCCCCCCCCCGCCCCGTGTCACCGTCCCCACAGGGCAGACTCCACCAGAGCCATGGGAGCAGGCGGGGCAGCAAGGAGACCACACCCCCAGCCCCCCGCCCTCCCCCGAGGGCCCACGAGGTGACCGCACCACCCCTGGGGGTCATGGGGGCGTCTGGGGGCAGGGATCCCAGGCAGCCTCAGCTCAGTGGCTGGAAAGCTTCATGGGGGCTCCGTGGGGGCCACAGGGATGCTGAGACCCAGTCACGGCCTTCAAAGAGACAACGCGCAGACCATCAGGGCCGGGCCAGGTGCAGCCGCCCCGTGGGGACCCCACCCAGCCCGGGCTGCAGGAAGAGGAGAGCGGAGAGTGGGTGCAAGGGCAGCTGCAGCACCTCCTGCAGGGGAGCTGGGGCATCGTGCCTGACTCGCCAGACCTCCCGGCCTCAAAGCCCAACCCCAAACCCACGGGCCAGGCCTCCCTCTGCTGATCCCTCTCAACGCCGCACTCAGGACGTAGCCCCACAAGGGTTTCCGTGCTGTGTCTGCCCAGGGGGCCGGCCAGGTGAGCGGTCTGCACACTGCAGCCCCGGGATTCTGGAACTCTGACATGGTGTGGGGAAAGGAAGGCACAGGAAAAGGGAGAAACTCCCCAAATATCCACCAACGGATAGCGGACGATAACACAATGTGTCCATCCACACAGTGGAATATTACGCAGCTGTGAAGAGGAGCAAGGCCCTGACACAGCAGCACGTGGACGGACCTGCACACGTGACACTCAGGGAGAGAAGCAGACACAGAAGGACACACGGCGTGTCACCCCATTGACGGGAAACGTCCAGAACCGGCCAATCCACAGACAGAGAGCAGGCTCGTGGGGGCCAGGGGCGGGGGAGGGGGTGGGGTGACTGTTTAACACACACGGGGTTTCCTTTTGGGGTGACAAAAATGTTCTGGAATTTGTTAGTGGTGATGGTTGCACAATCGTGTAAATGTTCTAAAAACCCCTGAATTGTCCACTTTAAAAGGGTGAATTTTATGCATTGTGAATATTTCAATAAAAAATATATTTTAAAACAAAACAGGACAAGAGCGTCTTAAGGGCGTCCTAGAACACCAGGGTCTGGGCAGCATACCGGAGCCCGCCGTCGGGCAGCTGTGAGTGGCTCTCCCCGGGGACGGGAACGACTCTGGCCCTGCGCCCACCCTCTGTCCCTGGGAGCCTGGCACAGGGGGGCCCGGAGACACTCAAGAGACGGGGGGCTGCCCCACCCCCTGCGTGTCCTCCTCCACGTGGCCTCTCAGGACACAGCCCCCAATGTCCCCTCCACGTCCCCCTGTTCCTCTGCCCCCAGCTCCCCGTCACCGTGACGACCAGGCTTGGCTCAGAGGGTGACTCTCCTGTCGCCTCCTTGACCCCCACCCAAGCCGGCCGGGGCCACCCTGCCCTGCGCCTCCACAGGCCTGGGGTCCACCCACCCTGACCACTCTGCTCCCCGGGCCCCGCCGGCCCTCTGCTCGTGGGACCCTGTTCCACGCCTTCCACCATGGGCCACGACCCCGTGGGCGGGAGACGCTGTTCATCGGCCACCATGAGCGCCTGGCCACGCTCACACACTGACCACAACATCATCCTCCACCAGTTAGGAGCAGACGCCTTGGACGGATGGACCTGGGGCTCCAGCACACGTCCGGATGGCTCGTGTCCACCGTGAAGCCACAGCCCGGCCGGATCACGAGGACAGGCCGGATGACAAGACCCGGAGCCCGTGGGACAGCGCCTTCCACTCAATGCAGCTCCGCCCCGGGGCTGGCGGATGACACGCGGGGCGCCTGCAGGGGCCGTGTGAGGCGTCCTGAGGCCACCATGCCCCGGCTGCCCGCGACGGCCGCCTGAGCCAGACCGCGCCCACCCGCCGCAGCCCCGGCAGCGGCTGTCAGCTCTGTCCGTCCGTCCATCTGCCCAGCCATCCCTCCTGTGGGGCCTGGGTGTGCAGAGCAGCCGGTGTCGCGATGGGCGAGGGCACCGTCCTCTCCAGGGCTGCCTGGGGCCCGGCTCCCCCGACTCCCCTCTCCTCCTCGGGCGGAAGGAGCTGCACGACAGCAGGGACCCCAGAGCGAAATTCCAGGAGCTTCCCTCACAAGGGCACCCCCTCTCCCGACTCGTGACTACAGTGACCAGAGCCTGCAGCACAGGCCGCCCCTCGCCAGTGCACGGGACTCTCCAGGAGAGCACGCGACAGCAGTAGCCAGCGGCAAGTGACGGCCCCTCCCAGTGCAGACACCCGGCCGTCCCCATCACTCACTCGGGGCGCCCGGCTAGAAGGTAAAGGGTGGTCTGCGCCGGGACCCCAGCACCAGCTCCCGGGCTGTGGCCTTCCCAAACGGGCTGCCCCCCAGGCAGGGTCCACAGCTCTGCCGGGCACGCAGATCCCTTCCACCCCACTTGTGCTCGGGGGTCCCCTGCACGCCCCTGTCACTGGGCCGCCCCTGTGCCTGCTGGTGGCGGTTCTGGATCCACCGCCAGCTCCTCGGACACGACGCATTTCTCTGCATCATGAAAGGGCGCCCACCCCCGCCCCGCGCTGCCCACTACGTGCCATCGTTTGGGTCCAACTGCAAACCCAGACGGGAAGTGGGTGCTGGGGGCACAGGCTGACAGCCGCCTACAGATGGCCTCTGCCAGGTCGCCATACGGGCTCATCTGAGAACCAGGATGCGATGACCAGCACCAGTAAACGGGGTCACATCCTGCATGGTTTGCCCTGAACCCGGGGACCCACCTGGGGCCCGGCAGCCCTCAGCGGCTTGACTCCTGATTCCTTATGCACGAAACCAACACACGAGGCCTCCATCCCAGAGCGTCACAGCCAGGGGCACAGCCCGCCCACGGGGCACAGGCGGCTTAATGCCAACTTGTCGCCAAGCCCCTCACGTCCCCCAGACCCTCGGAGGTGGGCCGAGAAGAGAGAAGAGAGAAGGAAGGAAGGAGCGATGGAGAGGCAGAGATAGGCAAAAAAAAAAAAACAGGCCACTGTGGGAGCCAAGAAGCTCCGAGGAACCCTCTCCAGACGGCTGGCTTCAATCATCCAGAGGAGGCAGGACCGTGCGCGAACGGGACGCGTCCCCAGCGAGTCACAGCACTCCCGGCACAGGACCAGATCTATGACACAGCACCTGCCCAGCTCAGAAACCGCCCGCCAGCCCGTGCACGCTCCCTGAAGCCGGGGTGCAGGAGCGACGCCAAGGACACCTCACTGTCCACCGCCCCACAGAGCTCAACGGTCACACCCACAAAAGCCACCTCTTCCAGAGCGTTCCGAGGACTGCAGAAGCCCCTCCCAGGCCGGCAGCGCTGCGCTTGGTCAAGAGGATGGGCCGGAGGCTTACGAAACAAGATGGTTGGCAAACGGCATCTTCCTCTGAAGCCCTCAGCTTCCGCCAGGTCCACACAAACTCCTGAGGCCGCTCGGGCTCCTGAGCAACCTTGTGATGCCAGCGGCGGGTGACACACAGGGGCGAAGCATCTGCCTGGGTCACGTCCCCTCTCTGTCCTCCTTTATTAGGGAGCTGTTCTCCTGGACGGGCTCATAATTTTCTGACATTCCCTGCAGTTTTAATTTCCCTCAAAACAACACACAACCCATTTTTTTTAAATATAAAGAATGACTCTAAATGCACTGATGTAGAAAAGAGGGACAGTCGTTCATTCATTCAACAAACGAATGTTTCCCGAACACCCACTCTGTGCCCGGAACTGTCCTAGGCACCAGGGAGACACACCACCACCAAGACAGACGTCATTCCTCGGGCACAGGCCTCGCTCCCCAGGGTGGGGTCTGCAAACTCTGACCACGGGGCGATTCCAGCCGCCGCCCGCTTCTGTGCAACCCGCAAGCTAAGAGCAGTTTTGGTGTTTTTTAATAGTTGGGTGGGGAAAAAAAATCAAAAGAAGAACACAAACAGCTCATGGCACGTGAAAAGAGTCCAGAAGTCTCATTTCGGTGTCCATCAATAAAGTTTCATTGGGACATAGGCACCCTCGTTCACTTCCATACGTTTGGGCCGCAAGGGCAGAGCGGAGCGGCCGGGACGGAGACCGTCCAGCCTGCAAAGCCGAAAATAGTTACTCTCTGACCCTTTACAGAAAAAGCTTCCGCCCTAGTGGACGAGAGAGACAATAAATACGAAAACGGATGAATACGCGTTTCTGATAGTGTCGAGTGCAAAGGAGAAGGGCAGGACGGAAGAGAGAGTGGCTGGGAGAGTGAGTTCAGGCAGCGTGGTCAGTGATGGCCAAGCTGAGCCGAGACATGAATGACAAGGAGCCAGCTGGGTCCAGGCGTGAGGGAACAGCATTCTGGCAGAGGGAACAGCAAGTGCAAAGGCCCTGGGGCAGGGAAGAGCAGGCAGGTAAAGCGTTCAGACTGAGGGGAGCGGGGAAGAGTGTTGGGGCAGGCAGAGAGGAGGGAAGCACAGACGACAGAGCAGAGGCCACAGGAAGGGGCCTGGCCTCTTTTCCAAGGACAACACGAAGCCACTGGAGGGTTTGGAGGAGAGGAAGGCCGTTTCTAAAGTTTTTAAAAGCTTCTCGAGGGAGCAGGAGGGAAAACCAGCAGACTAGCTGGGGACACGTGCTCTAACCAACCAGACGCTCCTCAACAGGCCTACTCAAAGCAGCGAGGAAATTCAAAGCCAATTATTCACCAGTAAGAACGGCCACAAAACCAGTTCAAGGATCCTCTCAGCCTTAGGACTCAGGTGACACAAGTTTCTTCTCCAATACTGTGGTTAAACTCACTTCATCGCACTCAAGGGTGTGTGACCAGCACCTTAACGGTCCCGCAACTGCGAGGACATTATTGCTCAGGAAGAGGCGAAGATGAGAGAAAAGAAGTGTGTCACCTTAAACCCAACTTAAAGGAGGCTGTGACACGACCTGGCGGGAAGGGGTATGGTGCCCACGTGGTATGGACGCCTGGGCAGGGCACCTGCCGGCTCGGAGGCCGAGGACGGCCCTGTAAGGCTCCCGCAGCACGCCTGGCGGCCCCTTAGCAGGCCAGCAACGGTGGCACGGGCATGTCTGCCGGGCAGGAAAGGCAGAGGGACACCCAGGCCGAGGAGGGTCAGCCGGACACAGTTTGCAAATGGGAGCCCCTCCCTATTAAAGGAGGGGAGAAGGGAACCAGAATTCGAGGCAGATATGGGAGGGTCACGGACAAATATGGGGTTAAAAGTTAAGTGAGAGGGTCTCACGGGGAGAACCGTGACCCCTAGAGGACACTGTGGTTGTCACACCTGGGGGAGGTGCTGCTGACATCGAGTGGGCGGGGGCCAGGGGTGCTGCTCAACCCCCCCAGCGCCCAGAATGACCCCCACGGAAGGCGCCGGCCCGACGTGGACCGGGCACGGGGGACAGCCCGACAGAGGCCAACAGCAGCAGTGACAAGTCAGCTCCGGGCTCGAGCCACGCCCTCCGTCCCCTCTGATCGCCACCATGACTGAGGATGGGAGCTCACTGAACCCATCTGACAGATGAGGAAAGCGAGGCCCAGGGGCGTGCGGTGACCTGCGGCCTGTGTGGCGGATGGAGAGGAGGGCAGGGACCCAGGGACACGGCCAAGAACACCAGGACACAAGGGAGGCCAGGGTCAGCCTCTGCTCTGCTGTCGGGCGTCCCCAGCCAGAAGGAGGCACCCAGGGGCGCTGCAGGTGCGAGCCGTGGCTGGAGGCCCCACGGGCAGGTCTCTGGAGCAAAGCCAGGGCTCGCGGTGGCAGAGGCTGGCGGGGAGGCCCGGTGGCGCCCAGCACAGGGTGCAGAGCCCTCGGGGTCAGGCATCTGTCCCCACTCCACACGCTCTCCACCCCTCTTCCTGGCCAGGTAGTTCTTGAGCAAGTGACTGGCCCAAGGTCACACAGCTCTGACCCCTGCGCCACGTTTCCAGAGCCCGGGAAGGAAGCCAACCGGAAACGCTCCTTTGCCCACACCTTGGTCCGTCGCCACCCACCCCCTGGTGCTGCCTGCTCCCTGAGCCGGGGAGCAGCTCCACCCCGCCGTCACCGCTGGGGCCGCACGTGGGGCACCCAGATCTCCCTTTCCCCAACACACCAGGAAGCCCCTTGAAGTCAGGGACCCCCATGACCTGCCCCGGCACGCCAGGAAACAGATGGGGTCCCCAGGGCTGAGGAAAGGGGCCGGCACAGGACAGCAGGGGCAAGACACCAGCAGAGGAGGCAGAGAAATGCCGGCTCAAGACGAGGCGGAGCGGCCAGGGAGGGAGAGCGGGGTGGGAGGGCCCCCCACCGCCCCAGAGGGACTGGGGCAGGGTCTCTCCCAGGAGACAGAGGGACACAAAGGCCGGGCGGGGTCCTGATGACCCACCAGCGCTACTTTGAAGCTCCAGCATTTAACATCTCCTGAGCAGCCCGCTCCCCGAACGCGAGGATTAGGAAACAGGAGAACATCCAGGGTGGTCAAGACCTGTGTACATTTCAAGTCTCAATGACATGCTCCTGCGCGGCACCTGACACAGGAGCCACCTGTACACGGCGCGACGCCCGGCAGCATTTGTGCAACCCCACCTCCGTTCCCCACCCCCCTCCCTGGGCTCCCCGAGGTGGCCGCCACCAGGGCAGGGAGGTCTGGCCGGCTCGGGGTCCCCACACAGACAGACGGAGCATCGAGACGTGCCAGGCGGCCAATGAGAAGCACGGAGAGCGGCCGGCGAGTTTCAGGAAGCTCGCCTCCAAGAACCACTCTAGGACTTTCACACTCTGTCCTTCAGGGACCCGAACGTGGACGGCCGAGACGGGAGGGGCTGCCCGCAGCTCTGGCAGAGGGGGCGAGAAGAGGCGGCCGGGGGAGTCGACAAACTCCCCCGATGCCTCCGAAGGAAGCTATAATTTGAGAATGAGGGGTCATCCGCTCCTGCATGGCGGCAATCAAAGCTCAGAGGAGTCAGCGAAGGAGCCCGTGTGGGGGGCTTCCTCCAGCCTGGGGCCAGTCGGGGACCCTGCTGTCACGACAGAGGGGTGGGGCAGGCATCCTCAGACCCTAAGACAGTACTGGCCCCCAGAGGAGGTCGTCAATCAAGGCCATGGACAGAAACAGACAGAAACACACGGGAAAGGACACAGTGTCTACACATTACAGGATCCTGGGGCGCCACCGACCAGAACTACCTTTCACTAGTTTCATAACTCGCGAAACAGTTGCACCCAGAGGCACCTAAATTATTACAATAAATGCATCTTCTCTCCCACCAAACAGATGGGGGACACCCAGCACCGTCCACACCTCCCCGGCCCCCAGGAAAAAACAAAACAAAACCCAAACCCCCTATAAAACCTTCTGCATGCCCAGGTGGCCGGGTGCCCCATTCCCCCTGGTGTCATCACGCCCCCTGGGTGCAGACCCAGGCCTTGTGGATCCGGGGGGCAGGGCCTTTCCAGAAGGAATCAGGGGAGGAGTAAGGGGGTGGCTGGGACAGCCCGAGGGGGTCCCCGCGGGAGCGACCCCACGGCTTCTCCGAGATGGAGAGCCGGCTGAGCGGGGGAGGGACGGGGGCGACGCGCCTGGAAGCTGCGGTGTGCATGGCAAGTGGGTACATTTTTATTCTTTCAAAAAGCCAGATTGCATGCTCCTCGGAGTGGGGTGCGGGGAGCCGGGGTGCAAGTTTGCAAGCCTCGGTGGCACGGCGGGGGGGACCCGGGGAGAGGGGTGGGGATGCAATGATGGACATCCCGGGGTGGGGGGGGCGCCCCTGGGAACCCCGAAGGGCCGGAGACGCAGGCGGGGTTGGCCCGGGCCTGGGCGCTCGCTCTCTCTTTATGATGATTCTCTCTCTTTTTTTCCGTTCGCAGGATTGCGGCGGATCCTGGGAGCCCGGGGCCGGGCCACCCACGCTGTCATCTTTTGTGCGGGGCCGGCCCCGCGCGCCCCCGGCCGGCCCGGGGCGCCCCCGCCTCCCGCCCCGGCCCCGCCATTGTCCGGCCGCGCCGTCCCCGCCCGCCGCCCCCCGAGGGCGCCCCGGGCCGGCCGGTGAACGCCCCCAACCGTCCCGCGGGCCGGGACAAAGCGCGGGGCCGCGGCCCGAGCAGGCCGCGCCCGAGGCCTGGGCCTCGCGTCCCGGCGCCCGCCCGGCCGCACGCGCGCAGCCCCGGGCGCGGCGCGGGGGCGACGGCGGCGGCGGCGGCGGGGCCCGCGCTCGGCCGCCTCCCCGCGGGCTCACCTGCGGCGGCGCGCGCGGCCCGGTCCGGAGCAGCGGCGCGCGCTCCCCCGCCCTCGGCGTCGCACCCCCGGGCCCCTCTCGGGCCGGGCCCCGCTCGGTCGCTGGCGGCCGAGCCCTCCGCGAGCGCCCCGGGCGGGGCTTATAAGGCCGCGCGCCAGCTCCGCCCCGGCTGCCATTGGTTGCCGAGCCCACGCCCGCGCGCCCATTGGCTGCGGCTGACAGCTCCGCCCCTCCCCTCCGCCGGGCCCATCAACACCGCACGGCCCGCCCTCCGCGCGCCTCGATTGGGCGGGCGCAGGCGCCGGCCTCGCCTCGCCATTGGCCCGCCGGCCGGGACACGCCGGCGCCCACCCACGTGCCCGCTGACCGGCTCCGTTCTCATTGGAGACGGCGCACGCCAGCCAAGGAGGCCGCGACCAATCCGACGGCGGTTGGGCCTCGGATTGACAAGGGAGCCTCGGGGACCTCCCAGCGTCCGCACGGGGGCAAGCGAGTATTGGCTTGCGGAGTGAGCCCGAGGCGCCGAATGGCTGAGGCGCGTGCCAATCACGCTGCGGGCCCCGCCCCGGTTATCAGGCGGCTGCTGAGTACGTGAGGCCCCGCACAACATCAGCACCCGGCCGCGGAGGCGCGGGGATGGGGTTCGAGACCCGTAGCCGGAACTTGGGTGCAGAGTTCCCCAATTCACCGAGTCCGGCGTTGGGAAACATTGCTCCAATGCAACCAATTTTGCAAAAGGAGAACTGAGAAACTAGAGAAATAAAAGTCAAGCAGCAAGCGCCCCTCCCCTCCCCCACAAAAAACCAAGTTCATTTCCATCACAATCAACAAAACTTTGCAAAGGGGCGAGGCCTTCGGAATGAAGATAGATGCTCTCCCTTGAGTTCTCTAAAACGTAAAGGAGGGGAGGAGTTTGTGCTCTCTGACCTAGGTTCAAAGCTCACTATGAATGGCCTGCAGCAAAGGGAACTCACTGGGCCTCAGTTTACCCTGTGAAATGGACATGATGGTAGGACCCCCATACACACACCCCTCTCCCGGGAATGTTAATGTGTAAGGGTTGACCATGTGGCTTCACATACTGAGCATTTAATTGAGGATTCCATTATTATCATCATCATACTATTAATTGCAAACCAGGGAGGGGGGTGGGCACGCCTTCATTTCTCCGGCAAGAGTGTAAATCGGGCGATTGGACGTTTTCTAATACCTTTTTAAGTGCGTCTACACTCTATTCCAGGAGGTTGTGTACCCTGAGACGCACTCTGGAGCTTGCACGGTTCAAGGATGCTTGGGGCAGAGCTGAAAGCAACTGTTTCCATCCGGTGGGCCCTTAGATAAGCAACTTGTAGCACAGGGTACTCTGAAATACTTAACTATGTAGCAATTAAAAAGGCGATAATCTACCTGTTCTGTCATGGACCCCTCCCCTGAGGATGCTGTTGGGGAGCAGCAAAAGGATCCGGGATTCTGCATCCAAGAAGACGTGGCGTGGAAACACACGCAGACACCAATGTCGTGTGGTTTCTAAGAGCACATAGCTGTGTCACTGCGCGGAAAAAGGCCACCCCCGAACTGAGAAAACTAACAGTCTTTGGGGAGAGAAGGAGGGACCCATGTTGGTTACAAGGGTAGTCTGTGGGGACTTGAATCCGTTCTGGGGTGTGTAAAATCCTCATGGGACCCTATTCATATATTCCTGATGTAGTTAACATTTAATTGTATAAATAGGAAATGGTAACTGCCTTTCAGGAACTGCCTAACTGGTGGGAAAGACGGAAATGGAATTTGATGATGGTAATACAGCATCAAAGGGGCAATAACAGGGGGCTGGCCTAGTGGTTAAGTTCGTGGAGTCTGCTTAGGCTGCCAGGGATCCGCAAGTTGGGGTCCCAGGCAGGAACCTACTCATCAAGCCATGTTGTGGTGGCGTCCCACACATAAACGAGAGGAAATCCACACAGGTGTTAGCTCAGGGCTAATCTTCCTCAAGCAAAAAGAGGAAGATTGGCAACAGATGTTTGCTCAGGGCCAATCTTCCTCAGCAAAAAAACAAAAAAAAGGCAATAAGAAGGGACCCACACACACACACAAGCTTTTTTTTTTTCTACTTCCAAGTCTGTCCTATAAGACAGTGAATTCCAGGTGTTTGTGTTTGAGACTGAATTTTTTTTTTAATTAGGTCACCTAAACAGACTATCAGTTTCCTTATTTTGCTTGGGGAAACTTTTTTTAATGCCAACTCTTATGTAAAAGGCCTAACATTAACAACTGTAGAATCTAGATTGTGGGTACATCCTGAGGGTGCCCCATACAATTCTTTCAACTTTTTCTGTTTCAAAGTCTTCATTTAAAAATGTTAGGGGAAAAAAATCTATGACGGTCATCTAATTAAAGGGCATCATATGCAAAGTGGGAAGGAGACAGTCTCTGAATTTTCAGAGGGACAAAATAAGTTGGGGAACACTCCCCACCTCGTCATGGTTTTCTATAAGTCTTTATGGACAGGTGCAAATTTCATGCAAATCACACTGGGGACGTCTCCATAAATGTCCCAATTTACAAAGACCCCTCCCAATTATGGGTGAGTTGGATGCATTAAAGATAAAGACGGATGGGAAGGTAGATCCTCCGAGGTGTTTAAAAAATAAAGTTTTATTTTTTTAATTTTTTTTCTTGAGGAAGATTAGCCCTGAGCTAACATCTGCTGCCAATCCACCTTTTTTTTTTTTTTTTTTTTTGCTGAGGAAGACGGGCTCTGAGCTCACATCCGTGCCCATCTTCCTCTACTTTATATGTGGGATGCCTGCCACAGCATGCCGTGCCATGTCCATACCCGGGATCCCAACCAGAGAACCCCGGGCCGCCAAAGCAGAACGTGCACACTTAACCACTGCACCACCAGGCCGGCCCCAAATTAAAGTTTTAGAAATACATTTGAGGGAGGAATTCTAACATTCTGTTTCACTCCAAGCATATGTGGCTGGACACACGAGTACTCCATTCCCCATTCGTGAGCACAGACACACAAATCTGCATACGCCAGACCACAGGTCACGTCTGCTTGTTTACAAAGGTGCTAGACAAGGTGGCTGCTGCCCGATAAACGAACTGAAACTAATCGAAAACCGGCCACGAGGCGGTAGACACAGTGTACACAGCATGGCCCTAATTTTGTTCTTTAACGCTCTATATAAAACAAATATTCGGAGAATCATATATAAATATATACGTACCCTGGCTTTGCCATGTCCTTGAGTAAGCCACTTAACCTCTCTGTGCCTCAACTGCAAAGTGGCTCTGAGTCAGAACCGATCCGAGGACGGTTTTGAGGCAGGATACTGCAGGACGAGCACACAGAGGTGGACAAATGAAGCCAGAAAATGTTCACCCTCGGGGGGGCAGGATTATGTATTTTGACTTTGATGTCATATACTCTGTTTGCAAATGTTCTAGGACTGTGTGTTAATTTTATAAGCCAGGGTGGAGGGAGAGAAGGAAAGTTTCACAATAAAAAATCAACCAGGAGGATTTAAAAATGTGGTCCATCCACACGCTGGAATATTACGCAGCCGTGAAGAGGAGCGAGGCCCTGACATGGCTGCACGTGGACGGACCTGCAACACGATGCTCAGGGAGAGAAGCAGACACAGGACGCAAATCCATAGACAGAGAGCAGGCTCGTGGGTGTCAGGGGCTGGGAAGGGACTGCTGATGGGGATGGGGCTTCTTTTTAGGGTGATGGAATGTTCTGGAACTAGATAGAGGTGATGGTTGCACAACTCAGTGAATACACCAGAAGGCCCTTAACTGCACACTTTGAACGGGTGAGCTTTACGGCAACATGAAATATATTTCAGTAAAGCTATTCTATGCAAATAAAAACAAATCTAGCAGGAAAGAAACGTCTAATATCACATTTCTGTACAGTGGTTTCAAACACATGTTTCTGGGTTTTACTAATTTTTAACAAGGACATTGTTCTTTAAAATGAGAGGAACATCCAAAAAGTCCACAGTCTCGACAATGAACCCGCCTCAGTGTGTTCTGGCCCCGTGTGGGGCCCACCTGGGGACATTTACGGAGTTTCTGCAGCTCCTGACAGTGGGCATCTTTTTCTGTTTTTATTATGTGATCACACTCGACATATCTTTGAGATCTAATTCGCACAATTCGCCCCAAGTGCACAATTCAAAGGATCTTAGCACATCCACAGATGTGGGCAACCGTCACACTCAGGACGTTTCCATCACCCCAAAAAGCCCCGCACCCTGTAGCTGTCACCCCTACCCCGCCCCACTCCCCCCAGCGGAGCCCTGAGCGATCGCTAACCCGCTTCTCGCCCCTACAGCCCGAGCTGGAAATCTCTTGTGACAGACAGCCTCACGATGGTCGGCGACTGCCTTCTCTCCTGGAGCACGATGCTTTCAAGGACACACCTGACACATTTTAAGGACCAAAAGGGGCAGCCCGAGATCTGCTCCCATCACGACTTAGCCATCGGTAAAAGGCGCCAGCACCAGGTCAATGGGAGTAACGGCCTCTGCAGAAATCAGCAAACTGGCCTCACCCTCGCTCCGACTCCTGCTGGAAAGAGCATGTGGCCCAATTCCCCAGGGCCCAGAGGACCACCCCCCATGCCCCGCTCCAGGCTCCAGCGACCCCTCAGATGCTGATGGAGTACGAGATGCCCACTGGAGGCAGAACGGATTCCGAGTGGGGGACCACTGCAGCCTCAGTTTCCTCAGATGCAGAATGGGGACAGGACTGCCCACGTTGGCAGGAATTAGGTGACCCCTGGTCCCCAGCTGGCAGGCTGGGCTTGGCCCCCTGGCTTGACTTTGCTGACTTGTCGAGCCCAACACCTGCTGAGCGGCAGGAAGAACCACCGCCGGGCCCTTTATGTGCTGGGCCTCAGTCTTCCCATCTGCACAGTGGGAGCAATGCTTTCTGCCAAGTCTGCCTTTGGGGGGGGTTTTGTGACGAGAAAATGAGATAATACGGACGGAAGTGTCTGCTGGGCTTCCGAGCGATTTGCAAATAGAAGACACGACCCAATGCATTTGTAAAAGACATTTATTCTGAGCCTAAAGTCGGGACAAAGAACATGGAACTTTCTAGAAAAAGCCTACACAGGATCGTGTTGTTTCTTCCTAATCCATTAAGAACCTAATAATAGGGAGGAAAAAAGAAAAAAAAAAAAAAGTTGTAAGACCATATCGCTCCAGTTCGTCTGCAGCTGTAGGATTTAAAATATTCCTGTTCTACCGAGGTATGGCTGCAAACTTTGGTAGAGTTAGAAAAATTAGCAAATCATCCCCCAAAATACAAAAACAAAAAGACACAAAACCAAACGCTGAGTTATAGCTTTCTCGGGACATATACAGTAACTACAAAAAAAAAATTTCATTTCGAAAAAGTGTTTATTTAATTAAAAAAAAAAATCCCCCTTGTAAATTGGCGGGTCGCAAATTCAATCGAAAGGATGAGCAGAACTCGAAACCTCCCCCCAAAACACGTCCCCAGGGGGGCGGGGGAAGAACTGGGTAGACCAGTTTGAGACTCTGGTTGGCATTTTCGACAATTCAGTGCTAAAAACAAAGAGCCCTGTGTTTAGAAAGAAAGAAAGGACCAAAGGCACTTGAACATGGCTTCGTGCGAATACTTCCATGCCCTTCCAGGTGGAACAGCGCGTGGCCGCGCAGCCAGCCCCACGGAGAGGGGAGTCCGGCGGAGATGGCTCTGGGTGGCCTCGACGCTGCTCACACGGGGGCGCCCGGGGCTCTGCGTGCGGGTCTCGGGCACGAAAGCAGACGGGTCCGGTGGGGACGACCTTGTGGCGACAGTTTTAACCGAGCTCAGCAGGACTGTCCCTCTTCCTTTAGACAAGTCACGATGGATGGCGGTGGGACCACGCGGCCAGGATGCCACCGCCAGGCAGCACCGTGCTTGGTTTTAGGCCACGTAACACCGTCGGGAAGATGCGCTCGCTGTCGCCTTTGGGGGCCGGGCCCACACACCTTGAGAAGATTGTTCTGGGCAGCCAGGCGCCCTGTTGCAGGTCGGCGGCGGGAACTTGAGACCCTGACGCCGGGGACATGAGCAGCCTTCACGCCAAGTCGTCTCTCGCTCCGTCTTCAGAAGCGAAACTGTCCTGTTGCTTTTTGCTGGCAAACCGCAAACTTCGTATTTCTTTAAAACAAAACACTGGAGGAGTCCGCCTTTCTTTCTTTCTTATTTTGAGCCATCATACAGATTCCGGAAAATTTATAGATTAAAAAACAAAACCAAACCTGACCAGGAAGACGAGGCTTTTTAGGGGGTGGAGGGAAAACTACATGTTTAAGTTAAGCCCACTAAAAACAAAACCGGGGCCGAAGACCCCGCTTGGACACGTTTTTTTAAAAAAAAACGCCCAGCAAGAAGTGCTTAAGGATCACCGTCCGTTGCCGTAGCCGGGGAAGAGATGGTTGAGAACGGCCTGCAGCGGCTGGTTCACCTGCATGGCGTAGCTGCGGCCCAGGTCGTAGCGGCAGGCCGGACAGCTGAACACTTGGGCCTTGAAGGACCGGTCCAGGCAATCCTGCGAGAGAGAGAGAGCAGGCGGGTGAGAAATGCCACCCACCGTCCCGGGGACGGAGTCGGGAGCAGTCACTGACTTCTCCCAAGAGCCAGAGGTCCCTCCTGACCCTCAGTCTCACTTTCTACCACTCGCCACACAGCCCCTCAAAGACTCCAAGTTCACCCCGGCCCCCAGGCCTTTGTACTTGCAGGTCACGCCACCTAACAAGTCTGTCCTCTGCTCTCTCGTCACTTGTGCCTCGGCTCAAGGCACCTCCTCCCAGGGGCAGACAGGCCCTGGACAGGCAACGTCCCAGTCAGAGCAAGAGGGAGGATGCCAGCCACAGGGCAGAGGTACGCGGGCACCTGCACAGGTGTGCAGACCTGAGGATGGCGTCAGGCGACTGGGCGAGGGAGCCAAAGGTCAACACAGCAGACGCCTGCTGACGCCACCGCACGTCTCACCGAGGGACACAGGCTGTGGCTTTTATTTCCTATTGTTAAAAACGCCTGAGCACTTTTCTCAATATAAAATCTATAGTCTTGATTCCAGAGACAATATGTAGTTTTTTCTGCTCAGGACAATGAAGATTTGAGTCCACCTTCCAAATCAGGCCTGGGACTCCTGCATTAGTGGCAGCAGCCAAAAGGTGGAGGCAACGCAAGTGTCTGGGAACGGATGGACACACACAGTGTGATCCATCCACACCCTCGAAAACTACGCAGCCATGAAAAAGGAGATCCGGACACCTGCTCCCACGTGGAGGGACCTGGAGGACGTGATGCTCAGGGACATGAGCCAGACACAGAAGGACACACACTGTGTGGTCCACTCACAGGAGGTCCCCAGATGAGCCACATCCACAGAGACAGAAAGTGGATGGGGGCCAGGGGCTGGGGGAGGGGTGGGAGTCAGTGTTTCATGGGAACCGAGCTTCAGTTTGGGGAGATGGAAAGTTCTGGAGACGGATGTTGGGGAGGGTTGCACAACAATGAGAAGGTACCTAGTGCCCCTGAGCTGTGCAGCTAAAAATGGTCAGAGTGGTAAACTTTATGCTGTATTTTACTTGAATAAAAAATTTTTTAAGAGAGGGGAGAACAGCCAGGCGCTGGGACAGCCAGGTGGAGCCGTGACACCTGTCACAGGGACAGACACACAGACCAGCGGCCTCCTCCTTCACAGCATTGGCACTTTAAGGACCCGTGTGACCCCGGGACACCCGGTCCACGGCTGCAGGCGAGCCCCCACACCTCCTGCCCGGCCTGGGACCTCCCGCCATGTCCCCGGAGCCAGGAGCCGCCTGGGAAGCTGCTGCTCTGCCCCTTTCTGCTGGACGTGGCCGAGGCTCGGAGCGGTCGGGTGGCTTTCCAAGGCCGCGTGGCCGGGAGGGGCAGAACCCGGGCCACTGACCCCAAAGACGCACTGTCGCCCGCCCCTGACAAGCCTCCAAGCCTCTGCTCGGGCCTCACACGGCCTCAGGGGACACGGGCATCTCCCCTCGGCCGCACAGCTGAAGGCACTCAGTCCCTCCCTCCTCAGGCAGGTGACAGGCAGTGGACGGAGAGCCCTGAAGCGAGGACAAGGGCCAGGCCAAGAGCAGAACTGGCAGCAGCTCAGAGGCCAAGGGTGACCGGGGGCGGGGACAGTCCCTTCTGAAACTGTGGGCTTGTACTGCCCACAGGTTCCTCCTGATGGCCTGTGGCCGGAAGACACCAGAGGAACCACCCACCCAGGGCAGCGCTTCCCAACTGAGCGATGCTGCCCCCAGGGGACACCAGGCCATGTCTGGGGCCATCTGTGGCTGTCACACTGGGGGAGCTCGTGGCATCAAGTGGGTGGGGCCAGGGATGCTGCTCAGCCCCCCACAGCACCCAGGACGGCCCCCTGGAGGATGACCTGGCCCCAGTGTCCGCAACGCCAAGGGGGAGCCCCGGTCTGGCCCCATCTCAGCCTTTCCCAATCTCTCTTTCAACCATCGTTTCCCTCCCAAGACTGACCACCGGCCGGAGCCCACAGGCCTGCCGCCTGGCCCCCCTCCCCAACCCCTCGTCCCCCACAGGCCTCGGCCGCCCCCACATGCCTGCCTGTCCAGGCTTCTGCACATGCCACTCCGCCTGCCTGGGATGCCGCCCCAAGTCCCCTTCCGGTGGCAGGTTGACGCCACCTCCTCCAGGAAGCCTTCCTTCCTGCTACTCTAGGGGAGAAGCACCTCACACCTCCATCGCAGCCCACGGCCCGCTTAACAATCATTATTATCACCAGGCCAGGACTGCAGCCCGTCCTCTGCCACCCTGGACCCCAGGCTGGGCGAGCATGTCCCAGGGGGAGGCGAGACCAGTGAACGGCTGCTAAGGAAGATGGGCGACGGCAGAGGGCCGGTGTGGCTGGAGGTCACGGGGTGAGGTGACACTTAAGTTCGGGGCAGTGGGAGGGGCGAAGACTGCATCTGAGCACCAAGGGCGAGGGGCAGGCGAGCGGGGCGACGGGACCCGTGATAAAGGCCGCCCTGAAAGCAGATAATGAGGCCCTGCAAAGGGCCGGGGGCCCAGGAGCCTGCGAGCGTGCGGAAGCCAAGCTGACCCACCCAAGAGGTCAGACCATCCTTCCAGAACCTTCCGCCCCGGCTCCGGCCGCCAAGCCTCTCACCTTGCATACGTTATGTTGGCACACGGTGGTGATGGGGCGGAAGACCAGCTCCTGGCAGCAGATGCACTGGAACGTCTCCTCCACTTTACTCAGGAATTTCTGAAACTGGAGGACAGCGTGTGAGCCGGGCAGGCTCCGGGCGCCGGGGCGAGCGGCCGCCCTGACGAAACCCTCTGGAAGGGCGGCCCCTCAGAAACACCTGCCCAGGTCCCCGTGCTGCACCCCCCGCCCGACCCCAGCGGGCAGGAGCGCCGAGACTCCCATCTGAGGACGAGGAAGTGAGGCGGCCGGGGTCACGGCCAGGGTGTGAGCGGGACAGGGGACAGCAGGGAACGAGCTGGCACAGGGCCCGGCCAGCATCGGGGTCAAGGCTGCGCCTTAGCAGCCCATCTTGGGACTAGACTGCGACACCTTTGATCCTGCTCGTGCCACCTGGGCACCAGGGTCCAGCAGAGGATTAAACAGAGCCCGGTGGGGGGACCAAAGACAGGACAGACGAGGACGGAAATGCCCCTGAGCACAGGCTGTCAGAGAATGAACGCTCCAGGGAAAAGGGGACCTGAGGCACATGGGATGGCTGAACCATGGCCCCTGAGACAGCCCCATCCAGACCCCAGGACCTGTGGACGTGTCACCTCATGAGGCAGAGGGGACTCTGCAGATGGGCTAAGTCGAGGCCCCTGGGATGGGGACGACCCTGGATTCCCGGGGCCCAGGGTTCTGATCAGAGGGAGGCAGAAGGGTCAGAGGCCGAGATGGAGACGCTGCGCTGCTGGCCGTGCGGACGGAGGAAGGGGCCCCAAGCCCAGGATGCGGCACCTCTGGAAGCTGGAGGAGGCGGGACGCGCTCCTCCCCTGGGGCCTCCGGGACCCGCCCTGCCCTCACCTGGGTTTGGTCCCTAAAGACTCATTGGTTGCAGGAAACTCACGCAGCAGGGAGACTGAGCCAGAAGGGTGATGGGCAAAGTGCTCCAGGCAGAGACCCACGAGGGGAGGACCAGGAGGAGGAGTCCAGAGGGCGAGGCGTCGGCAGGAACCGACAGATCGGCCGCGGCTTGTAGGATTTGGGTTTGACTCAGAAAGAGCCAAGGAAAGCCCGCCCCCACCAGGCAGGGACAGTGGCCAGAGGATGCTAAGCCACTCAGTGGCAGTGACTCATCAATGTTACCCCACCCGGGGCAGGAGGATCAGAAAAAGACAGCCCTAGTTTGGCGGTTCCCCAAAAAGCCAAACGCAGAATGACCACAGACCCGGCAATCCCACCTCTGGGGACAGACCCATGAGAACTGAAAGCAGGGGCTCGAAGGGACATGTGTGCGGCCGTGTTCACAGTAGCGTGAGAAACAACAGCCAAGAGGTGGAGGCAACCCGGGTGTCCATCAACGGATGATGGACCCACACAGTGTGTCCATCACAGCCTGGAATATTACGCAGCCGTGAAAAGGAAGGAGATCCTGACGCCTGCTCCCACGTGGACGGACCTGGAGGACGTGATGCTCAGGGACGTGAGCCAGACACAGAAGGACACACACTGTGTGGTCCACTCACAGGAGGTCCCCAGAGGAGCCACATCCACAGAGACAGAATGTGGATGGGGGGCCAGGGGCTGGGGGAGGGGTGGGAGTCAGTGTTTCATGGGGACAGAGCTGCAGTTTGGGGAGATGGAAAGTTCTGGAGACAGATGGAGGGGATGGTTGCACAACCACGTGGATGTGCTTCATGCCACTGAGCTGTGCCCTTAAAATGGTTACGATGGTGAGTTTTCTGTTTATTCTATCACAATAAAAAAAAAAGCAACGTGGGCCCGCAGGCCGCGGGGGCGGGGGCTCACCGGGCCGTCCTTGAGCGCCTTCAGGGTCTCGGCCCACAGCTTCGCGTTGCTCCTGTCCTCCTTGATGAGGCCGTGCTGCTGGGCCGTGAGGCTGTAGGGCTCCACCTTGGTTTTCTTGGGCGTCCCTCGCGGGGACCCGGCGCCGTTCTTGCCACCTCCTGGGACGGAGCGGAGAGGTGAGAGCCGGCCCGCGCGCCTGCCGCGGCCGCCCGCGGGGACACCCACCTGCCGACTTGCTCTTCCGCTTGCCCCTCCTGGGGGACGTGAGGCCGCCCTCCTCCTCGTCCTGCGGCTCCTCCTCCTCGGCCTCCCTCTTGCTGTTCTCCTTCTCCTTCCGGGCCAGCGCCTCCAGGTAGCCCTCCGGGTACTGAGTGCGAGAGGGCGGAGCCCGGGCTGGAGCGGGGGTGGCCCTGGGGGGAACCCTAACTCCCCGCCACCTCCCTCCTACAGTCATAGCATCATCGCACCCACCCAGGCCCCACCTGAGGCCTCCACTTAACTCCAGAGCCTCAGGTGAAACGCTGGGGATCCGATCCCACAAATCAGATGGTCTGACTACCTTGATGATTTCGATTGGAGGTTGTAAATATGCCCAGCTTTGTGAGGACACAGCGCTGCCACGGCCCTAAAGCAGCCACAGCCGCCCTGTGCACCGAGGAGCCTGGCTGTGCCCCAGGAGAACTTCATTTACAGATAACTGGCCCCAGGGCCTTAGCTCGGCAACCGACTCGGAGGCCTCTTGGGCTCCAGGTCCCGACAGGCCGTGTTGGACCGGAACCGCATCCCCGAGGCACCTCCGAGCTTGTCTGACTCCCCAAGGTCGCACGGAGAAACCTCCAGGCTTCCTCACCCACATGAGGTTGCAACAAAGACTTAAGTCAGAACTGAAAACCCCACTCCCATGGCCGCTTCTGTCCCCAGTTCCTCAGCTTCCGGAATTCCCTGTGGCACGAACACTGTGTGGAAGACGGCTCTTTGTGACCCCAGGGGGTAGGCGCTGTCAGACTCTCAAGGGCAATTAAGATGCCTTAAATAGTCGCAGCACGAGTTCTCGGGGGAAAGCAAGTCCCCGTGACGAGCAGAAAGCACCATAATTACAGGGCAAAAAAGCCAGATTCCCGTGCTGGGTGAACGCCGGGACGACGGCAGATTCCGCTGCTATGAAGCCGTGAGTGGCTGGCGGGAGGGACCGTTTATTTGTCCTTATTGACACATCTAGCCTCGGCGTCCACTGGATTTCTTGGTTTGTTTCTGCTTTTTTTTGGGAGAGGTACATGGGGTGAGGAGCCGAGCGAGGAGAGAAAAGCAGCCAGAACAGAGAAACGACCCAATTCCCAGTTGCTTTGGGACCAGCCCCTCCACCAGCACGGCCCCGAGGAGGAGGTCTGGCTCGCTGAGCAAACCTCGAACGCCACCCGCCGGCTAAGAATCTGGAGGGACAGCCGGGAGGGCGCAAGCAGCTGGGGACCTGGACGTCATTTCAGATGAGAGAAACCCGGGAGGGCTGCCCGCCGGCCAGGTGCTCGCCGCCCAGGCGCCCCTGGGGCTGGCACCTGCCGTGGTCCCCAGTGACCGACTGCGATGATGAAGCTCAAAGCAGGACGCCCGCCAGTCCGGGCTGTGCAAGCATTAGGCGCCAGATCAGCCAGGAGCACCCAGGGCTGGGTTCCCAGCAGACCTGGGACCCGGTGGCCCCAGCGGGCCCGGCGTGGACGCACCTGCATGGTCAGCCCCAGCTTCTTGATCCGGTCCTTGCCCTCCTTGGTCCAGGGGCCCGGCTCGGTGTCGTCCCTCCGCAGCAGGTAGCGCCACACCAGGAAGCCGGACTTGCCCTTCTCGGGCCAGTACCTCACCACCTGCAGGGAGCGGGGGCCCCGTCAGGGGTGTTGGGGACGGGGGACGCGGCGCGCGCGGGCCGGCCGCTCACCTTGTAGATGCCGTCGTACCGGTTGCCCTCGGTGGGGGCGTACTTGCTGTGTTTGCGCCCCTTGACGTTGCGCACCACACGGACTGGCTTCCCCGCCCGCCAGTCCTTGGCCTCGGCCCCTTTGCGGTCGTTGATGGGGGCACTGCAGTTGAGGGCCAGCGCCCTGCAGGGACAGGCGGGGCCGCGCTCTAAGCTGGACTGCGGCCTCCAGAAAGGACCGAGTCCCAGCCCCCCAAACCTGTGGCCGTGACCTTCTGGGGAAGCGGTGCGTGCAGAGGGGGTCAAGCGCAGAGGGGGCCAGAGCGGAGGAGCAGGGGCCCCGAACCCCATGACCGGGGCTCTTCTCAGAAATGGGAAACTGACGCACGGACGCACAGGGAGCTGGGCACGTGCAGACAGAGGCGGAGGCTGGGGAGGGGGGACGCCAAGGGTGGCCGGGGTCACCAGAAGCTGGAGGGGGCAGGACGGACCCTCCCTGGAGGTTTCAGGGGGAGCGTGGCCCTGCCCACATGGGGCCTCCAGAACTAGGTGAGGAGACAGCCCTGCTGTTTTAAATGCTCCAGTTGGTGGCATTTTGTTACTGGAGCCATAAGACGCTAACGCACCATGTGGGGAAGATGCCGCTGAGAAAAGAAACGAGGCGGCACGCAAACATGGGCCGGCGACCGGTCCGTGCCGCCGGAGGGCACGAGGCCCGGGGAAGGTGGACCGGGGGCAGGCTCCGCACTTCGTTGCAATGGTGCCATCTCCACCGTGGGAGGGGACAGCCGCGACCGTGTGTGTTCTCACAGACACACAGCACCTTTGAAAGCACAGATTTCTCAGTTTTGTGTCCCAATTTTATCACTTAACGTTAGCTCCTAAGCTGTTCTGAAAACGGGCTTTTTAACAGCTACTGAAATTAAAATATTCCACTAGACAGATAAATGCACGATGAACCTACCCCTTTCACAAACAGATCTTTAGTTACTGAGATTTGCTGTTTTAGATGATGACAGGATGAGTTTTGCTACACAGGACGTTTTTACCTCCTTGTGTCTCATGAACACTTTCAAAGCGGAATCATGGGGTCAAGAGTAAGGACATTTCCTTTTTTTTTTCTTTTTTTTTGGTGAGGAAGATCGTCGCTGAGCCAACACCTGTGCCCATCTTCCTCTGCTTTGTATGTGGGACGCTACCACAGCATGGCTTGATGAGTGGTGTGTAGGGCCACACCTGGGATCTGAACCCACAAACCCCAGGCCACTGAAGTGGAGTGCACGAACTTAACCACTACGCCACCGGGCCAGCCCCATTAACGACATTTTCAAGGCTCTTTTTACATACAGGCAAAGAGCTTTCCGGAAAGATGGTACCACTTTGTATTTCTGCCAACCCTGGAACACTAGTCCACAACTTGGCATTCCTCAACATTTTAGAATTTTGGGCCAATTTTACAGGAGAAAGAAATGGTACCTCACTAGTGTTTCCATTTGTATTTCTTTGATTACTAAAACTGAACAATTTTCCACGGTGCTTGGACATTTGCATTTCTTTTGTGAAAGATCTGCATGTTTTTTGCTTCTATTAGTTTTTCTTATTGATTTGCAACAGCTCTTTATATATAAGGACATAACCATCACGTGTCATTTTTGTGGCAGACTTTACCCCCAAATAGCCATCTGCTTTCTCATTTTACTTCGGGGTTTTATTGATGTAATTTATAATACTGAAGTCACCAAATCAGTCTTTTCCTTTGAGCTTTAAGATGCTTTTTATGCTTAAAATGTCTTCCTTCCCCTGCAATCACATGTCAGCAAACTCTGGCCTGCTGCATGGTTTTGCTGATAAAGTTTTATTGGTACACAGCCATGCTCAGTCACTCACGTGTGCTCTGATGACAGAGCTGCGAGGCTGCTACAGAGACCACGTGGCCCGCAAAGGCAAAAATGTTTATTATCTGGCCTTTTAGGGAAAAAGTTTCCTTTAATACTTTAATTAAAAAGTTTAATTTAGGGGCCAGCCCAGTGGTGTAGAGGTTAAGTTCGCACGTTCTGCTTCCTTGGCCTGGGTTTTGCCAGTTGGGATCCCAGGTGTGGACATGGCACCGCTCATCAAGCCATGCTGTGGTAGGCGTCCCACATATAAAGTAGAGGAAGATGGGCACGGATGTTAGCTCAGGGCCAGTCTTCCTCAGCAAAAAAAAAAAAAGAGGTGGATTAGCAGCAGATGTTAGCTCAGGGCTAATCTTCTTCACAAAAAAAAGTTCAATTTACTGAATAAGTCACAAGTCTTCAGAGGCAGAGAAGGGAAGAAACGGATGTTCATCATCCCTATGTCCACCACAGGCTCAATGGGGACCTAACTTCCCAGACGTGACACCCCAAAACAGAACCAACCCCATCCCCTGTGGAACGATCAGAGGATGAGGCAGACGCGTGCTGGTAAAGAAACAAGAAAACCCGTTTCTGCGAACCTGTTGGTGTTGGTGAGTTTCTGATCGCAAGACTGTTCCGCAGTCCGCTTGTTGCCGGAAAGATCTCGCCCACCGCTTCCCGTGTACGTGAAAGAGTTCCCGTTGTCCTGAAACAGATGAGGGGGGCAGGCTGAACCCTCCACGCAGAGGGACCCACTGAAGACAAGCCCCCCACGCCCGTCAGGACGTCGGCCATCAGAGAGACAGACAGTGACAAGTGAGGGCAAGGGTGTGGAGTCGCGGGGCCTGCGCACGGCCGCTGGGAATGCAGAGCGGAGCGGCCGCGGCGAACACTAGGGCGGCTCCTCAAAACTAAAAACAGAATTAGGGGCTGGCCCCGTGGCCGAGCGGTTAAGTTCGCGCGCTCCGCTGCAGGCGGCGCAGCATTTAGTTGGTTCAAATCCTGGGCGCGGACATGGCACTGCTCATCAGACCACGCTGAGGCAGCGTCCCACATGCCACAACCAGAAGGACCCACAACAAAGAATATACAACTATGTACCAGGGGCTTTGGGGAGAAAAAGGAAAAAATAAAATCTTTAAAAACAGAATTACCCTGTGACCCAGCACTCCCGCTTCTGGTATCCACCACAAAGAACCGAAAACAGGGTCTTAAACAGGTGTTTGCCCACCCACAGTCACGGCAGCATGATTCAGAAGAGCTAAAATGTGGAGGCAACCCAGGTGTCCATCAACGGACAATGGATCCACACAGTGTGTCCATCCACACCTTGGAATATTACACAGCCGTGAAAAGGAAGGAGATCCTGACGCCTGCTCCCACGCGGACGGACCTGGAGGACGTGATGCTCAGTGACGTGAGCCAGACACAGAGGGACACACACTGTGTGGTCCACTCACAGGAGGTCCCCAGAGGAGCCACATCCACAGAGACAGAAAGTGGATGGGGGGCCAGGGGCTGGGGGAGGGGTGGGAGTCCGTGTTTCATGGGGACAGAGCTTCACTTTGGGGAGATGGAAAGTTCTGGAGACGGATGGTGGGGATAGTGGCACAACCACGTGGATGTGCTTCATGCCGCTGAGCTGTGCCCTTAAAATGGTTAACATGGTGCATTTTGTTTTCTGTATTGATCTCAATTAAAAAATAAATAAAACAAACCCCCCCCACTCACCACATCGTCCTCATAGCCCCCGGCCAGGACCAGGGAGTACGCCCCGTCGTTGCTCCGGCCGTGGATGCCCGCCACGTGAGGCCGGTGGACCCCCGACTCGCTGACCTGCGAAAGCCACCGAGAGACAAATGTCCCTTCTGGATGGGCTGCTGCAGGAGGCCCCGCCTCCACCTCCTCCGTCCGCCTCCCCCACGCGGACACGCCCGTGACGAGCCCCCCTCCACAGACAGCTGGGCCCAGGCCCCACCTCGGAAGCCTGCCCTGCCGCCTGCTTAAGGGGTGGCCCCCCTCCGGGGTGGAGGGGCTTCTGGAAGGCCAGTGCCCGCCAGCCGGGCCCCAGAGCCTCAGGACGCTTGCACATACCTGGACTCGGAACCTCCACATGGTGCCCACGGGGATGCCCGGGATGGGTCCGTAGTGGTTGGAGGGGACGATGGTGCACTCCTTGGTGCGGCCCACGCACGCCATGCCCTGTGGGTTCGGGAGACAGAGGGCAGAGCAGTGTGAGCGCCACAGGACGGTGGTGGGGGGGATGACGCAGGGAGTGCACAAGGGGCCACCTCACCTTGCCCCAGTCCCGCTGCGAGGACGACGTGGCTGACGCCATCTTCGCCTTCTTCTTGCTTTCCTTCAGCTTCTCCCCTGCCAGCACCACCTCGCTGGCGTCATTCCGACACTCGGGGCAGTACCTGCGACAACGGGGACGTCACCTCCCGCCCCGGCCGCCCCACTCCCACCGCCGCCTGCATCCCGCGCTGTCCAAGAAGGGAAGGATGTTCAAAGTTAAATTCATTAAAATTAAGGAAGAAACGCCATTCCTTGACGTGTGGGCCTCCAAGGGCCCAGCAGCCACACGCGGCGAGTGGCGACCACAGCGGACGGCACAGAGCAACACATCCACCGACACAGAACAGTCTACTGGACGGCAGACGCTCACCCCTCTCCCGCTGGGGATGTCACGGGGCCTCCCTCCAGCCGGGATGTGGGGAACACACGTAGACGGGCACCTTCTCGCGGCCGTGACTCAGTTTCCCCATCTCCGCAAGGCGGGGGGGCGGGGTGTGTGAACAACAGCCACCTCTGAGCTGTAGCGACAGCTCCGTTAACAGGTTGGTGTCCTTAGACCAGAGCCGAGCGCATTGCCACCTTCCTATCCACGCTGGCAGTTATGGTACGAGCGCCAAGAGCGTCATGGCCAAGAGGATGCTCCAGGAGATGCGGGAGGCCTGGCTCTGTCCTCCGACCTGCCGGGCCCCCTTCCCTGCGCTTACTGGAGGCCCAGGCCACACCTGGAAACAGGACGGCTCCCTCACCTGCCTCGTGTCAGCTCGTTTCCCAGCACCGTCCGGCCCCCCGACCCGCACGGCCGAGCGCCCGCAGCCCCGAGCCCGTCACGGGAGCGGCCAGGCGTCCACTCACCACTCGTCCTCCTTGGGGATGCTGCTGAGCGGCGGGCACAGGCAGTAGATGTGGAAGGCCATGTCGCACTCGTCGCACAGCAGCTGCTTGTCGGGGTCCTGCTTGCCCCCGCACAGGTGGCAGGCGCACACCCGGCAGGTCTTGCTCTCGTCGTCCTTGCAGTGCTTGCAGGAGGGCCCGCTCTTCCCTGGACGCGGGAGGCCGGGGTCAGCTCGGGCAGGGCCGGCCATGCAGGGAGGGGACAGGAGACCCGCCCACGCCCGACGCCCGACGCGGGAGCCACGGCAGGGCAGGCCCGGACTCACTCCTCATGGGGTTGTCGACCACGGGGCTCCCCTCGCCTGGGCGCTCGATCTTGAAAACTTCGTCCACGAAGATGATCCGACAGTCGTTGAGAGAATTGTCCCTGTGAGGGGCGAGACGTTAGAACATTCCAGCACGCCGGGCCCACCCAGCATCTCGGGGAGCAACTGTGCCACCCAGCACTTCCCAGAGCACCTCGGGTTTTAGTTACACCAGTGGAGAGGCATCTCGGGGCCTCGTGCATTCGCTTAGCTCTCCCCTTGCCAGGTCAAGTCCGGCTAAAGCAGAAGCAAGACGAAAACAGCACAGAAACCAGGGTTCCATCACACACTGCGTTGGAGAGAATACATTCTAAGGGGGCAGGAAGACTGAGGAAACGAGGCCCCACGTGCAGAAACCATGAAGGCAAATTCAATCGGCCTACATCAAAACACAGAAGCCGGGGCCGGGCCCGTGGCCGAGTGGCTAAGTTCACACATTCTGCTTTGGCAGCCCACAGTTCACCAGTTCAGATCCTGGGTGCCAACCTACCCACTGTTCATCAAGCCACGCTGTGGTGCTATCCCACACAGAAGAACCAGAATGAACTAGAACTAGCATATACAACTATATACTGGGGCTTTGGGGAGGGAAAAAAAAGAGGAAGATTGCAACAGATGTTAGCTCAGGGCCAATCTTCCTCACCCAAAAAAAAAAAAAAAAAGGCACAAAAGCTCCTCTAAGTTAAAATGACCCTCAGGGATCAATCCAACACCTACATCGCCCACGTCCAGTGGAAAGTGAATGCGAGCCACAAATGCACACCATGTGTGTAATTCTACATGTTCCAGCAACGACATTCAAAAACTAAAAACAGACGGAATCAGTTAAGTACGACTTATGTGACCCAGTGTACACAAAATATTACTTCAGCATGTAATAATATTAAGGAATTATTAACAAGCTATTTTGCATCCATTTTTGGCACTCAGTCTTCGAAATCCGGTGTGTGTTTGCACTTGTGGCATGTCTCAGTGTGTGCTGGCCACACGTCAAGTGCCCGACACACACGTGGCCTGTGTCTACGGAACTAGACGGCCCGGGTCCAGATCCGCCCGCCAGTTCACAGGAAACCCAGGGACACAGGAACAGAGGAAACGACACCACGAGGACGCAGCCGGCAAAATCCAGACTGTGCACCTTCCACACGACCAGGCTTCCTTGACAAACAAAGTGCCGAGGAAAAGGAGGAAAAAGGAAATGCAGGAAACCTAAAGACCAAAGAGATTTAAAAGCTATATATTGGGGCTCCGGCCCGGTGGCACAGCGGTTAAGTTCGCATGTTCCGCTTCTCGGCGGCCCGGGGTTCACCGGGTCGGATCCCGGGTGCGGACATGGCACTGCTTGGTAAGCCATGCTGTGGCAGGCGTCCCACATATAAAGTAGAGGAAGATGGGCACGAATGTTAGCTCAGGGCCAGCCTTCCTCAGCAAAAAGAGGAGGATTGGCAGATGTTTGCTCAGGGCCAATCTTCCTCAAAAAAAAAAAAAGAGGGCCATAATCTAATGATAAAAGGATAATTGATTCAACCAGGAAAACTTAACTATCGCAAGTGAGGGCACACCAACAACAGAGCCTCACGATTACGAGGCTGAAGGGAGAAACAGACAAACCCACAGTTCCAGCTGGGCCCTGCGACGTTCCCTCAGCAACCAACAAAGGATCAGCAGGAATTAGAAGACGCGAACAACACAATCAGCTGACAGGATCTGACTGATACAAATAGGACATTCTACCCAACAACAAAATGTAGTTTTTTTTTTTCAAGCGACCACAGAAGAGTCACCAAGACAGACCCTATTCTGGGCCAAAAAGACAAACCTCAACAAATTGAGAGAGAAAGAAATCCTATAGAGTATGTTCCTTGACCCTAAGGAAGTCAAACTAGAAATCGATAACAGAAAGACAATGCAAAAATCTCTGCACATTTGGGAATTAAACACAACATTTCTAAATAAGCAAGGAGCCAAAGGCGAAGTCTCAGAGGAAATTAAAAAGTAGAACTGTTAATAAAAAGAAAAATAGAACACAGCAAAATAAGTGGGAAGCAGGTAAGGCAGTGAGGAGAGGGAAATTCATAGCACTCAATGCTCACATTACAAAAGAGGAAATATCTCACATCGTCTAAGTTGTTACCTCAAGAAACCAGAAAAAGCAAAATCAACCCAAAGAAAAGAGAAGGGAGAAAACTCTATTTTCCCGTTTCCAATTTTCCTGATTGGTCAAAGCGTGAGACGCCTGTGCTCAAATGCTCCGATGGTTGCCAGCAACACAGAATAAACACTGGTTCTGGACCACTCCTGACCATGCCCTCAAAGCCCAGATACATGAAGGCGTCCAGTCTCAATTCCTCTCTCCCTCCACTCCAGTCCAACAACCTCCTTGCTAGGCCACAAATGCACCAGGAAGGGCTCCGCCCCAGGACCTTTGTGCTTGCCGGGCCTGTGCTTAGGACACTCCTGCCCAGATGTCCATGTATATATGTGATACATACAACAGAATATTACGCAGCCATGAAAAGGAAGGAAATCCTGACACCTGCTCCCATGTGGAGGGACCTGGAGGACATGATGCTCAGGGACATGAGCCAGACACAGAAGGACACACACTGTGTGGTCCACTCACAGGAGGTCCCCAGAGGAGCCACATCCACAGAGACAGAAAGTGGATGGGGGCCAGGGGCTGGGGGAGGGGTGGGAGTCAGTGTTTCCTGGGGACAGAGCTTCAGTTTGGGAAGATGGAAAGTTCTGGAGACGGATGGAGGGGATGGTGGCACAACCGTGTGAATGTGCTTCATGCCGCTGAGCTGGGCCCTGAAAACTGGTTAAGCTGGTAAGTTTTCTGTTATTTCTATTTAAATGCACAGACACACACACAAAAGCAAGGGCGAACAGGGCTGGGCAAACATTTTCCACAAAGGGCCAGACGATGCATCTTCTCGGCCTTGCAGGCCCCACGGCCCCTTCCCAACTACTCAGCTCCGCCCTCGCACCACCACAGCAGCCTCGGATAATCGACACCCGGATGGGCGTGGCCGTGTGCCAAGAAAACGTTATCTGCCAAAACGGGCAGAGGGCCAGCGGTGACCTGTGAACTGCAGTGTGCTGAGCCCCGATGAACAGCGGACCCCTCTGTGTGCGGGTTTATGTATGTAAATGTTTACGCTTGTGGATGCACAGACGGTCCCTGGAAGGTGACAGAAACAGCGATGTCTCCAGAGAGGAGAAGGGGTGGCCAGGGGACAGAGAGGCGGGAGAATATCCACCGTGTGGCCTTTGCTACTTTCTGGATTTTGACACATTTGAGTGTATTACCTATTTGCCAAACTAGAAAAACAAATAAAAGGACAAAAAGGAAGCTTGAAATCTCGGCCCGTTGGGGGCTCAGAGACGGCCCCCTGCGCAGGGCCATGAGGTGGTCAGTCAGAAAGATCACCAGCGGCGACCAGGAAGGAGGGCTGGAGTCCCGAGGGGAGGCAGGGAGGCAGGGAGGCCAGGCGGAGGCCGGAGGCTGGCCGCGTCACTCACCCGAGCCTGACGTTGGCATACAGCTCTCGCACCGTCCGGGTCTCACGCTTCCGCACGATCTCGGCGTCGTACCAGAAGCCACGCTCCTTGGGGTTGTCGGGATTGTAGTTGAGCATGACCACCTGGCCCACCTCCAGCTCCTGCCACTTGAGGACGGTTCGGGCTCGAGCCCGGACGTCCCGGGAGCTCATCTGGACCACTCCGTTCTCCGGGTAGCTGGGAGGAAAAGCACACGCTCAGATCCCGGGGCAACGTACGGCGTCACTCCCTCCACAGGAGACAGAAGCCGAGGAGGGAAAGGACGCACACGACACTTATTCTCATCACAGCAGCACGGAAAGCCCCCTCCCCGATCATCTCATTTGCTGGCTTCAAAAATACACAGGCATTGGGGCTGGCCCGGTGGCGCAGTGCTTGGGTGAGCACATTCCGCTTCAGTGGCCTGGGGTTCCCCAGTTCGGATCCCAGGTGCGGACACAGCACCGCTTGGCACGCCATGCTGTGGTAGGCGTCCCACATATAAAGTAGAGGAAGATGGGCACGGACGCTCGCTCAGGGCCAGTCTTCCTCAGCATAAAAAAAAAAAGGAGGAAGATTGGCAGCAGATATTAGCTCAGGGCTAATCTTCCTCAAAAAAGAAAAGAAATACACAGGCATGGAAGACACATTCCAATACAGAGGTGCCATGGGTCGAGGTATGCCCCCCAAAAAGATATCCTGGAGTCCTAAGCCCCCATACCTGTGAAGGGCACCTTATTTGGAAGTAGGGTCTTCGCAGGGGTGACCAAGTTAAGATGAGGTGACATTGGAGTAGGGTGGGCCCAGATCCAGTGACAGGGGCTCTCATAAGAAGACGGAATGAGACAGACAGACACACAGACACAGACACAGACACACACACAGAGGAGAAGGACACTTGAAGACGGACACAGACACTGGAGGGAAGAGGCCACAAGCCAAGGACTGCCAGCCACCACCAGAAGCTGGAGGAGGCAGAGGACGCCCCGGAGAAGGACCACGGCCCCGGCCGCAGTGGATCGTGGACTCTGACAGACTGCGACGATAAGCAGCCAGCCTGTGGTTCCCTGTCATGGGTCCCCTAGGACACCGATCCAGGAGGAAATTTGGGGGGGGGGAACCTTTTCCCACAGGCATGTATTGAAGATGATTTTTGTAGACTGATGTATGTTATTCCATTTATGTAAATACAATAAAGTGGATATTAGGCTGCAGCAGGAAGTCATTATTCTGAATATGCACAATATTCCAACAGCCTCAAAAAAGGCATCAAATAATTGGCCTAAAAGAAACATATTCCACCAGCAATGAAGCTAAACCTCGACTGTGAGGGGGACGACCCCAAATCTATCATGACCAGCAGTCTCGCCTGGGGCTCATTATTTTCACCAATAAACCCCAAAAACAAGGGCTGCCAAATTTTTCCCATAAAAAGCCTGATGGTTAAGTATTTTCGGCTTTGTGAGCTGGAAGGGCTCTGTCGCAAACGCCCCGCTCTGCTGCTGTCACCAGGAAAGCAGTCACAGCCGATGTGTCAACGAAAGCACGTGGACGTGTTTTGATAAAGCTTTATTGACAAACACAGGCCAGGGGCCGGATTTCGATGGGAATCTTACAGCTCCTGCGATGCACTCATCCAGTGACTCCAGAAAGTTGTACAAAGCTAAGCTGCAGGGTGGGCCAGAAGCTGGCGCAGGCGGTATGGACCGAATAGTATCCCCTCCAAATTCATATGCTGGAGCCCTGAGCCCTGTTGTGACTGTACTTGGAGACAGGGCCTCTAGGAAGGCAGTTAAGGTCAATGAGGTCATAATGCTACAGCCCTGATCTGATGGGACTGGTGTCCTCACGAGAACAGGAAGCCACACGACAGCGCCCTCTCTTCCCGTGCACACACAGCGGAAAGGCATTCGAGGCGTCGGTGAGAAGACGGGCGTCTAGAAGCCAGGCAGAGAGCCCTCACCGGGCATCAACCCTGCCGGCACCTCGATCTTGGATTCCAGCCTCCCGAACCGGAGAGAATAAATGGCTCAGGTTGGAGCCGCCTGCCTGGGGGATGCTGAGACACCCCGCGTTCACAGACAGGCCCTTCCTGTGTCCAGCACAGGCCTGGCATGCAGTAAGCGCTCAATAGATGCTTGTGAGTTCCAGTAGAGGAGAGATACAGACACATAACATGGTTCCATATGGTGATACGTAATAGGAGAAAAATACAATAGGAGAACTGGGCCTCCAGGGGTGGCTTCGTGTGGGGTCGGGAGCCTGAGGGTGGGGGCCCCTGAATCCTGATCATCGTCCCCACAGCAGTCCTGAATTCCAGGTCCCGGATATGTGGAGCCGACGCCCCAGGCCCGCCCACCCACCCGCCCGCCAGGACTCACTCATCATATTTCACGTGATAAATGACATCTTCTTCCAGCGTCGAGCTGGAGCTGCAGGGCTCGTCCTGGGATGGCACCTTCCTCGTCACCCTGACGACCTGCGCCTCGAACCAGGCTCCCATGTTGGTGTCCCGAGCGTCGACGTACTCGTTGACCTGAGGGGAAAAGGAGCTCTCTCACCAGCCCCGGGGCAGGAACACGTGGCCAGCAGAGCCGACAGGAGCCCGTTTTGGTTTCTGGGCACCAGAGGCTTCAGGGCTGCGATGCAAAGCCACGTGCCTGCACCGGGCCTTCTCGGCCGGGGCACTGCAGCCACTGGGGTCAGGTCACTCTCTGGGGGGCCATCGTGGGCACTGTGGGGGGTTGAGCAGCATCCCTGGTCCCCCCCCCAACTCGATGCCAGGATCATCCCTAGTCGTGATGACCACAAATGTCCCCAGATATTGCCGAGTGTCCCCTGGAGGCTATCATTTCTCAAGAGAAGCTGGGAACCTAGATCTTTCTGTGAAATTTCATGATCTTAGAGGTGGCAGCCAATTTGGAAATTTTACAGACCCAGCAGAGGCCACAGCAGAGAGCAGCAACCAGGACACGGATCTGACTTAGGATCAGGAAGGAATCATGGACCCAGGACCATGTGTTCCAGCCAAGGAACCCGCAGGAGATTGTCACAGCGGGACCAGGGACGCCCGGCCACAGGGATGGAGGGGCGTGGGGGGTGCCCCCGGGAAGCACGCCCGTCCCGAGCCTCCCACGGGGCCTCACCTTGTACAGGCCCAGCTCCGTCTCGTCCCACGTGTCGTCGTCCGCCAGGCCCGCCTTCCCGTCCGCCTCGCTGGCCACTTCGCCGCTGTTGGATGACTTGTCAGACTCGCTCTGGCCCAGGCCGCAGCCGGAGTCCGTGTCGGACAGCTCAGAGTCCCTCTCCTTGCTGCCGCCGCTGGCCGGGAGCACCAGGCTCTGCCGGACGAGCAGCTGGATGGTGTCGTTGAGGCGGACGTCGTAATCGAAGAGAGTGTGGCCGTCCTCCATCTGCAGACACACGGACAGGGACATCACCCGCCCGCGGGAGGCCGGTGGCGGGAACACACCGTGAGCAGAGGGCACGGTCCAGGACGGACGGTGGGACCATACGGCGTATCCGTTCCTGGGGGTGCACACTGTCCCCAAAGCCTCTCAAACGAGGACGCCTGGTGTCATACAGTGAGCACACAGCTCAACCCCGGCCATGCTGTGGACGCGCACCAGGGATCTGGGGGGTTTTCTCAATACTTTGTGTGTTTCATCACTTTGGTACAATAGACACGCGTTGCCTTTATCGCTGGTCCGCGATTGAGGGCGGTCCTGCCCCTGGGGGACACTGGGCGACGTCTGGGGACATCTGTGGCTGTCACACTGGGGGAGCTCCTCATATCAGATGGGTGGGGCCAGGGATGCTGCTCAGCCCCCTACAGCGCCCAGGATGGCGCCCCCCAGAGAGTGACCCGGCCGATGTCCCCAGGGCCTGCGTGACCCCAAGGAGACAGCGCCCCACGGTCATCAGCTCCCTCTGTAAGGCTTTAGCTCAACTCTCGTGTCCTCAGCAGCCTCTCTGGTCATCACGCCACCCTCTGTCCACTCCTCTCTCCCGAGTCCACCCACTGTCATTCGCTGACATGGGAGCCTGTGGCTGGCGCGGCTCCCCCCATCTGTACCCTGGGCCTGACCCGGTGGGTGGGTGCATGCAAAGGAGCCGGAGCCCTGAGAACAAAAGGCCGAGGGCTCACCTTTGATTAAAAACTGCGCCCCGGGCCATCAGCACCCGAGCAGGACCCTCAGGCCCATTCTGTTCTACCCAGAGGCCCCTAAGGCGGGTCTCCGCCCTGACGCTCCGGGTCCCTCTCTGTGGGGGGCCGTCCTGGGCACTGTGGGGGGTTGAGCAGCCCCAGGACAACCACAGATGTCCCCAGGCATAGGCCAGTGTCCCCTGAGGGCAGAACGACCTGGTTCAGAAGCAGCGCCCTGAAGAAAAGGGAGAAGAGAGAGGGACCACAGATATACAAAAGGTCAGCTTTCGCTGCTGCCTCATTTTCACCAAAATCAGTGGCTCAAAGGGCTGATGGCTATGAATATGCAAACAGCCCCTGGGGGCCAGGGAAGGCAGGTTCCAGAATCCAGAGTCCTTCACAGCCATCGTAATTTTTTATCCATCACAAACCCACGATCTGATGACCCCTCTCCCCGAGAAAAGCGCATGTGAACACGGCAACACTCACAGCTGCGGGGGCTTCCGGGCCCCTCGGAACCCCACCCAGGACGACCAGGGCCCACGCCACCTGTCCACCCAGCAAAGGTACCATGTGCCCAGGAACCAGAGGGAGGCCGGGGCGGGTGAGACACGGCGTCAACACAGGACAGGCACGACACCGGAGAGGTGACACGGATGGGAAGGAAGAGACAAGTCACCCTGTGCACCACGTTCACAGCAGCCTAAGGGTGGGAACAACCCCTGTGTCCATCAGGGGATGAACGGATCCATGCACGGTGGTCCCCCACACACTGGAATATGACGCAGCCTGAAGAGGAGCGAGGCCCTGACACAGCCGCACGTGGACGGACCAGCACACACGACGCTCAGGGAGAGAAGCAGACACAGAAGGACACACGGCGTGCGACCCCATGGACGGGAAACGTCCAGAACAGGCCGATCCACAGACAGAGAGCAGGCTCGTGGGGGCCAGGGGCTAGGGAGGGAGTGGAGGTGATGCTGATAGGGATGGGGTTTCTTTGGAGGTGACGAAAATGTCCTAAAATGGACTGTGGTGATGGCCGCAGAGCTCCATGAACATACAGAAAGCCACTGAAATGCATATTTTAAATGGGTAAATTGTATGTAAGAGAATTGTATCTCAATAAAAGTATTTTTTTTTTAAAGGAAAGAGTCCATCTGAAAAGGCTACATATATACGATTCCAAATCTAGGACGTTCTGGCAAAGACAAAACTATGCAAACGCTAAAAAGATCAGTGGCTGCCAGGAGGGGGAGAGAGGACGGACGAACGGGCGGAGGGGGCACAGGGCATGTTCAGGGCAGTGAAACTAGCCTGTGACACTGTGACAGTGAACACCATCATTCTACATCTGTCCAAACCCACGGAAGGTACCACACCGACAGTGACCCCTACTGTCAGCTCCGGGCTCTGGGTGATGATGACATGTCCACACAGGTTCATCGACGGTCATCAAAGCAGCCTCTGGTGGGGGGGGTAGATAGTGGGGGAGGCTGTGCGTGTGGGGTGGAGAGTATGTGGGAAATCTGTACCTTCCTCTTAATTTGGCTATGAACCTAAAACTGCATTAAAAAATAAAGTTTATTAACTTAAATACACAGAGAGACAAGTGTCCCCAGTGTAACCGTGACAGGCAGGGCAGCGGAGGGCAAGCCAAACGGCCTCAGAAAGGATGAACGAGACGCTGGCACCCCAGGCCCGGTTCCTCTGAGGTCAGGCAGACGCCCCTCAGCCCTGGGACATCAGGGACCGGGTCACTCTCGGGGTGGGGGCGTCCTGGGCAGCATCCCTGGCCTCTATCCAATGGATGACAGGAGCACCCCGAGTCGTGACAACCACAAACATCCCCGGATATCGCCAAGTGTCCCCAGTGGGGCAGCATCACCCCCGAGGGAACCACTGAGCAGACAGACCGTCCCCCAAGCACGCCTGAGGGATGTGCACACCGGTGTGTATTTGCAAGCAAAACGGTGGCTTATTCACACAGAGGAACGCCACACAGCTGTGCGTGACAGCCAAACGCAGTGGATCAGACGCGTCTCCCACACGTCGAGGGGAACGAGGACGATGTCAGAGGATGGGAGATGCAGCGAGCCCCCTGGACCACAGACGGGCAGAGGCAGGGAGCTGGGCCGGGAGGGACACGCGGATCCAAGGCCGGTGGGAAGATTCTGGAGAGATGCGGAAGAGCTGAGGAGCAGACAGGACGCCCCTGACCGGAGCTGGGGGGCGGGGGGCGGGGGGAGGGTCAGGCCGAGGCGGAAGGCTGTGGCCGATGTGGCCCGGACGCTCATGCCAGGAGGAATTCTCATGCTGCTTCTGGCGGGGCCTGATGGAGCAGAGGTGGGGAGCCCGGCTGCAGCCCCCCACGCTCCTCTCGTGGGTTTTCCAGCCACAATGCTCCCCCCACGAAGCCCCTCTCTGGACCTGCCCGGATGCTCACGGGCCTGGGCTCCGTGCCTCCGGGGACAAGGGTGCCGAGGAGGCCCCCACGGGGCAGGCGGGGTTGCGGAGGCCAGAAAGGCGAGGCTGGGCTGGCCCGGGGCCCCGCCTCCGGGATGGAATTCCCAAGCTGGTCTGGCGGCTTCCTGAGGCCGCTTCTGGAACTTTCCAGAAGGGCCCCCGCAGTTGAAGCTTGCATAACTGTCTGCTATGACGAGAGGGTGTCGGGGAGGGGAGGGGCCTCTCCCCTACTCTGCTTGCCCGAACATTCGGGAACCACGGGGGAGAGCGGCTGGGCCCGGGGCTGCTCCACGCCAAGGCGTCCCGTGCGCAGTGATGGAACATTCTAAGGTCGAGTTCCTTATCAAGATCCTAAAATTCCAAAGGAGGCTAACAGCGCTAATAAAAGCCATAAAAACTGAATGACGTGAGCTGCGCTTATAAACCCAAAGTGACAATCCTCTATGACCCCAAATTTCTGTTGAAAATCCCTTAAATCGCCTGTAGTAAAATACACATGCGCGGTTTGGGGCGGACAACCAGGTCCAGCAGACTCAGGCCCAGAGGCAAAGCGGCCGCGACACTGACGTCCCGTGTGTGTCTCTCTCTTTCAATCGAGCAAGCTTTCCGCACATCTGGAATTCCGCCCCGCGCGCATCGGCTAAAAGCTGAACCGACACGTCAGGGATGTGAGGACCAAGCACGCGGGGTCCTTTTGGGAACTCGGATAACAAGCCCACACGCCCCCCCCCCCCGACTCTGTCCGCTTTCTGCCCCTGTGACATCTCGGGGGGACTTGTCACGAGGCCCCGTGCTGCCCAGAGGCAGGAAACCGATGCCACTGGGTTTGCAAGGGGAGGTTCCCGGGGCGGTTCCAAGCAGCAATTTCAGCGAGAGGTGGAGGGGACGCAAACCGGGAACATGGGGTCCCACAACCCCATGTTCAGTATGAGCTCTGAACATGAGGGACCCACGGCCGGAGGGGGAAGCAGGCACCAGGAGGGCCTGATGGGCTGGGCGCACGGGGGGAAGGAAGAGAAAACCACGCCATCTCTTCCTGGGCTGCAGCCCGGCCCCCCGCCTTCCTCGGCCTCCAGCCTCTGTAGCAACCGGAGGCGCGGGCCGGCCAGGCGGACAGACAGGGACAGGCAAGGGGAAAACGCAGGGAGCGGGACCCGAGACGTGGCACAGGGGGTACAACCTCCCCTCGGGGAGGAGCAGGCAGAGTGGAGAGCATGACCCCCTCGCACGTCCCAGCCTGTCAGGGACACAGAGGGCAAATCACTGGTGACAAGTGCACTCTGCCCTCTGACCTTGCTGGGCACGGCGGAGAAGACACCCTGGGGTGGCGTTTTGGGGGTCTGCGAGGCCCAGACTTTTGTCGTGATGACACCACAATGCCACCGGCCGTCGTCACTCCTGTGGGCTCACGGGGGCACAGAGGAGCCTGCCTATGTGACATGGGGGGACACAGGCTCCCGACACCTCAAAGGGCCTGCACACGTGCCCTCAGGCTGGACCACTACGATAGAAACAACACGGTCCGCAGCCACAAGAACTCCCTGGGGGCCCCATTGCTTTGGAGGGTGGAAAGGGGCCCCGAGACCCAACAGTTCCAGCGCCCTTGCCCTTGAAAAACTCTTGCAACCCAGCGCCCCGGGGGACGTGTTCTAGAACATTCCGGGGCCGTGCTGTTCCTAACAGGAAACCTGGCAGCACTCACCCGGGGAGGCTGGACCACAGCGCGGGGTCTAAGTGACACACGACAGCCTGTGGCCATTTGGTAAATAAAGCTCTATTGGGACCCTGTTGGAACAGGCCCGTTCACCTGTGTGCTATCTATGGGGGCTGGCCCGCCCCAGTGGCAGAGCGGAGTGTCCCCACGGAGACCAGTATCTACTCTCGGGCCCTTTACAGAAAGGTTTGCTGAGCCCTGGCTGGGAGGGCGTGGCGTCCAGCTGGGAGCTGTCCCCGGGGAGGGGACCCTCCCTCACGCAACCCGAAGGCCAGGTCTCTGGGAGGGGACCTGTTGTACCTGCTGCCTGACCTGCCCTCGGGGAAAACCGGGCCGGCGTTCAAGGCAGGGACGTTAGGTGGGGCACTGTGACATGAGTGGCCCTCGCAAGGCCACCCCCAGGCCGCTGTTTCAACTGCTCTTTCAGACTGACCCCAACACAGCCTCTTTAGTTGTTTTCCTAGATTATCTATGAAATTAGTGGTTCTCAACTAGGGGTGACGGTGCCCCCCAGGGGCCATGTCTGGGGACATCTGTGGTCGTCACACCTGAGGGTGCTCTGGCATCTAGAGGGTGGGGACCAGAGAGGCTGCTTGACCCCCTGAAGTGCCCAGGACAGCGCCCCCCCACTACCCCCCAGGAGACTGATCTGGCCCCCATGTCAGCAGTGGGGGACACTCTGAGTTATATCATTTATTGCGCCTTTATCGTCACCCAGGCGAGGGCTCAGCCCTCCACATCTGTGTCCGTGTCCTCCCCGAATTCGATCTGCACCATGCCCACGCGTGGCGGGGCCACAATTAGCCCCGAGGTTTGTTGTGGGAGCAGAGTCACTGGCCAGAGCCAGTGGCCACGGGGGAAAATGATGTCAAAGCATTGTACCTGGGCCCGTCAAAGGCGCCACGAATGACAGCTATTGTTATTTTCATGGGCAGCCAAAAAAAAAAAAAGGCGCCAGATGACGGTGGCTCTCGCCCAGGCTGGGCCCGCCGCCCGGAGTCCCTGCCCCCATTCGTCTCCGCATTTCCGCCAGTCAAGCGACATAACCGCCAACCTATTCAGCCTAAACAAGCCAGCCACGAAACCCTCCCATATCCTGAAGAAAGACTCGACTGTGTTCTGCTTTAGCGGCTCAGCCAACCTCACTGCCGACCTGGGACTGCAAGGCCCTGCTTCTTTCAAAAGGGAGGAAGGAAAAAAAAAAGGATCATGAACATTCTAGAACATTCTGTGAAAAACCACCGTCCTCTTGCACCCACTGGAGATGGCGCTGCTTTCTACCGCCAGGAGCCCGGTCTGTCTGCAGCCGTGACTCGCTCGGGGCGGCTGCCGTGGGCGCACCGTCGTCCCCCACACCCTCCTGGCACTGTCCACACGTCCCAGCGGCCGGGCCACTTCCTAGCCGTGCGACCTTGAGGAAATTGCATCACGCTCCGAGGCCTGGCTCCCTTACCCGGAAGACAGCAACGACTCTGCATTCCCTCACCAGGCGGCCGAGTGGGAAGGACAATGAGCAACAGCCACAGAGGTCACACAGGAAGACGGGACCTTCAGAGATCTATAAAAGCCACATTGTCTCCTCACCGACATCCTGACCACTGCAGCCTCGATGGACGCGTGTAACGCACACAGGGGCTCCTGTCACCATCACGCTTTGTAACTGAGACGGACGTTACGAAGACTTTTCCACGGACCAAATATTACGTTACCAATGGAGGGAGACAGGAGTTGGTTACGCGGGTGTAGACGAGTGTCAAAACTCCCAATGGTCTGCTTACAACGTGTTTCTCTCACTAGATACAAATTTTACCTACAAGAACCACAAACAGATATGGAACTCCGGTGAACGACGGGAAGGCTGACGTGTTTACGGGCAACATGAACTAGTGTCTGCAAGTGACTTAGAAATGCACCCTCCAAAATAAGACGGACTCGTGGACGGGGCGAGGATAGAAAAGAACGCTACATGATAAAGCGAATACGAGGAAGGTCGTTGCTAAAATCTAGGGGAAAGTGTTTAGCTGTTCACGGTTCTTCCAACTTTCCTGCGTGTTTGAAAGGTGAAAATTAAAACGCACAGTGCCCGAGGTCGCTGGCACTCAAAAATATTCGCTCCCTTGAACTTGAGAGGACTTGATCCGACTCGCTTTGAACTCGGCCATGCGCTCTTCAGCGGACGCACACGCAGGTTTTCAGAAACTGGGCAAGGGCCTTGTGCTAAACGAACAGACCGAGGGGCAAATGAAAACTGGTTTGGATGCCACCAAAACGAGCCACCGTTGGAGGCGGCGGGAGAAAGACGGCACCCAGTGGGGGGAGCGCCACTCCCAGCACCCGCCAAGGCAAGGCCACACCGCCAAGTTTGCAGGCTGGCTTCCCCTCCCCAGGCCGGTGGGCGGGGGGGTGTCACTGGATTCTGAGGACGTTCAAGTCACAGGAAGGGGCTCCAGCCCTCCAAGGGCGCCACGAGCCCCCAGGGGAAACTGATCATCGCGTCTCTTTCCGGGTAAGCACACAAGCCCGTCCCAGCCCCCGAAACTCCTGGTCGGGCGGGCGCGGGGTGTTTATTTTTCCATCTAGACACCAGATGGCGGCAGTCCCCGGTTCAACACGCGACAACAACGAAGTCGGGCGCACACAGCCCAACTGAAGACTTTGAATCCAGTCGTCTCCTCCACCAGTCCCTACGGACTCCGGGATGGCCCCAACGGCCAGGACAGACGCTTTCTGTCGAACCATCTTAGCCCAGCTTGGGAATCTGCCTCACAGCAGCATCCCCCCTCAAAGACACCGACAAAAATGGAACCTCCCCACCCCCCCTCCCCCAGCCACCCCGGGGCCACTGGAGAAAGCATCCCAAACGTGGGCAGCTGATAAAGCAAGGGTGGCCATTTTAAATGGCTTAAATGAGGGGCCAGGGAGAGAGAGCAAAGAAAGGAGCCGGGCCAGCCGACCCCCCCAGAAGGTGCAAGCCCCCGTTCCCGCAGCCCCGCCAGACAGCAGGGCCAGAGGAGCGGAAAGCCCTGCTCAGCAAACACCGCCTCCGGACTCCGAATAAGCTGATCGGAATTTCTAGAAAACAGAGCCTGTGGGGTCAACGCTAACGAGGTGCAGGCGGTGGGGCCACGGGCGTGTGTTTCAAAGGAAAACCCCCTCTCTCCTCTGTGCTAGCACTGGAGTAACCATTCTAGCCTCTTCCTCGAAATGCATCAGCCCTCTGTCGGCCACCTCCAACTTCTTTTTCTAGAAACTGTTCGGAGGGGAGCTTCAAAAATGAACAAGGGAGTTACAGAGCCCAGACGCTGCCGACTCGGGTGCCAGCTGCCCGCCCGGTGTGTCCACGTGCGAGTCGAGCCTTTGTTCCAGGCTCGAGCGTTCGAGGTTTCTGTGGAGACGTGAAGCGGGACCGGACGAGGGGGGGGCCAGTGCATGTGCGGTGCCCGGACGAGGCAAGAACAAAGGTGCTGGCCGGCCAGGCGGGCGGGCGGGCAGGCGGCCTGCTGGGCGGGCTTACCTGCTTGCCTCGGAAGAACAGCCTCTGCAAGCCAGGCTCCACGTGGAACAGCTCCTGGATCTTCCTCCTCAGCTCCTCCACCTTCGTCAGCCTGGACAGCGAGTCCACGGTGTGGGCCACCTTCCCGTCCATGGTGCGGACCTGGATCCACATGGTGTCTGCTGGTGCTGGGGGGCGCGGGTGGGGGGGCAGAGAGGGGGAACCCCTGGGTCAGTTCCGCCTCCACCGGGCTGTGCCCTTCTCCGCTCATCATTCTGGCTTTTGTCCAGCCTGGGGACACCAGGAAACTCTCGGAACGCCCTCCCAGCCCCCTGCTCCCCATTGATCGCCAGAGCTGGCCCAGGGCCTGGCAGGGCAATTAAAGAGTTAATGCATTAAGGACGAGCACCGGCGGAGGATGGAAGAGCAGGAAGAAATTAAGAGGAGGGGGCAAAAGGCATCTTGGACCACTCCCTCCAACCCCCTCCCGCCTTTCACAGAGTTCAAAAAAACACCGATGTCCAGAGGAGCCAGGAGGACACAGCCACACCGGGAAGGGCCGAGTTCGCTCATTCATTCGTTCGTTCGTTCATCCATTCATTCATTCATTCCCTTCCTGGATGAATACTGACGCCAAAGAGAAACCCAAAAGTCCGGCGCGGGCTGCAACTTTAGAAGTCCCGGGAAACTCAACCAACTGGGACCGGACGCGGGGGGACCCCACCCGGGACCCGCGAGCCCCCGACCCCCGGGGGTCCCCCCCCGCGCGCGCGTGCGCGACGCGGCCGGCCCCGCGGTGGCCATGGCAACCGGCCGCCCCGTCCCGGCCGGCCCCGCGCGCGCCGCGCCACTCACCTCGGCCCCGCGGCCGACCCGTCTGCCCCCGACCCCCGACCCCCGGCCCCGGAGCCCCTCTTGTGCTCCCGCCCGGCCGCGCGGGCCACGCCAGCGAGCCCACGCCCACCCCCACCGCCGGGACCGGCCGAGGGGCCCCGCGCGCCAAGGCCCGCCCCCCTTCACTTGAGCCGCCTCGCTCATTGGCTGCGCCGCGCCCGGCCGCCCCGCCCCGCTCGCTCCCCATTGGTCCAGACGCGCCCGGGGAACGAAGGGCGCGCGAAATCGGGCTCGGGCGCGACAATTGAATCGCGGGGCGCCCCGCGCGCAGGCGCGGAGCCTGACATCCTCCCCCGCGGCGCGCCGGGCCCTCCCCCACCCCGCCGGCGCGACCCCCGCGCGGCCCCGGGGATGATCGGCTCGCCCGGCCCGAGCCCCGGGGCGCCGGGAGCGACTCCCAAGGGCCGGCGGGGCGGAGGGCAGAGCCCGAGACGCGTGCAGGGCGGCCCCCGGGGCAGGGGCGCGCGTGCGCCCGTGCTGGCCGCGCGTCCCGGGCCGCTCCGGAGAGTTGGGCAGAGTCTCCGCGCCCCGTGCGCCGGGTCTCCCCGGCCCCGGCTGGCACCCCGGGCCGCCCGGCCGCTCACCTCTCCGGCCGGCCCCGATCCGCTCGCCTGCCTGACTGCCTGCCTGCGCCCCTGGCCCGGCTGGGGATGGCGATGGAGCCGCGTGCGTGGCCCGGACCCCGCGCGGACGTGCGTGCGACCCCGAGCGCCCGGACGGCCACCGCTGCCCGCCGCGCTGCCAGCTGCTCTGATTTTTTTCCCGCGAAAACTCGGCGTTTGGGAGTTGCGGGGCCGCGGGAGGCCGCGCCGGGGGCGGGCGCCTGCCTGGTGATTGGCTGCCACAGTGGCGGGAAGCAAGAAAAGGGGGGGGGGGCGCCCCCCGCCTCTGTCCACCCCCCCACCTCCGCCCAGCGGGCCACGGCCCCGCCCAGGCCTGCGCGCTCTGCTGGGCGCGCCCAGCGTGCAATGGGGCCGGGTGGCGGGACCTGGGTCCCCCCCCCACTGTGCGTGCCCCCCGGGATCCCTAGGGACCCCTAGAATAGAGACTCCTTGACCTTCTAAAGTCCTTTCCCGCGGCCCCCCTTCCCGGGCACGCATTGACCAGGAGGGCAAGGAAGGCCGAATCAGTACCTAAACCCTGCAGGAGAATGTGGGGGACCACCCCGGGAGACCGTCTGCACCCCGATGGCCAGCCTGATCGCCCCCAGCCCCACTGCCTAGCGTCAGGGCCGGCCAGTGCTCCCCACCCTACCCACCCGCAGGGCTTGTTTGCTGGTTTTTCCCGCCTCGTTTTCCCGCCTTCTCCGGGCTGTCCAGGCGGGCAGGGCCGCCCTGCCCCCTCCGCCCTCCCTGCTCCGCTCTGGCCAGCCTTGGCGGACACACAGTGACCCCCGCGGGACACCTACAAAGCGCCTGGACGGGGTGCTCAGAGCTGGGGGGGGCGGGAGCCAAGGGTAGGCAAGACCGCCCTGTTGGCGGTCTCCGGGAGAGTAAAATCTCGCCCCAGCGGACAGGCAAGAAATGAATAAGTAAAACCCATCGTTTCAGATACTACTTGCAACGAAGACGGGACAATAGCTGGAGAGTGACCAGCGGCCATGTGGGGGGTGGGGAGAGGACATTTCTGGTTGAGGTGACAAGGTGGGCCTCTCTGAGCAGATGACATTTGAGATGAGAAACCAAGGACAGATGGGTCCAGGAGGGAATAACAAGCTTGGAGGCCGGAAAAGGCTTGGAACTAGGTGTGTGTGTGTGTGTGTGTGTGTGTGTGTGTATACAGGGCAAGCACCAAGGAGGCCAGTGTCGCCGTGCAGACTCAGCAAAGGGGAGAAGGGGAGGGGACGAGGTCCGAGGGGTGTCGTGTCAGAACTCACAGGCCACCAAGAGAACTTTGGTCTTTCTCTTGAGAGCAGTGAGCAGCATGGCAGAGCTGTGAGCAGAAAAATAATGAGCTCCAATTTATGTTTTTACAAGTTTCCTCTGGCACAGAGTCCCTTCTGTCTTGGCACTGGCAGGTCTCCTTTTGTTCCCCAGATGGCAGAAGAATGGTCCCCCAAAGATGTCCAGATCCTACTCCCTGGAACCTATGAATGTGGTCCCTTCTGTGGCAAAAGGGACTTTGCAGACGACATTAAAGGTTTTGAGATGGCGAGATGACCCTGGATTATCGGGGCTGGCCCAGTGTCACCCCAGGGATCCTAATAAGCGAAAGAGAGGGGCAGAGGCAGAGAGGGAGATGTGACCACAGGGCAGAGGTTGGCGTGGTGACAGCCAGCTTCTGGACTCCATCTGTGCCGCCGAATGCGTTTCTGGATGCTCAGCCCTCAGCCACACAGCGACCACGTCATGGGGGTGGGCAGGTGTCAACCAGGCCTACAGGAGTTTAAAGGGGAAAAGGAGATCTTTCCAGTTGACACCACCAGGCGCAGGAAGCCGGCCTGTTCCTGGTCAGGGCATTTCGTCTGTGTGTGCCTGCTGTTGCAAAAACTCAACATGCCCACAGAGGGAATACATTGTTCACTGCAGGGCATCATCACCCAGGCTCCCGGGATGTCTGAAGAAACGTAGAGGGAGGGTCTGGCTTTCCTTGCAGAAAAGATCTTGGGGGCCTCATTTCTCTAGTTGTTTCGAGAAAGTCAGAGAGGTTGCTTTGGTTAATTGAACGTGAATAAGAGACCATGGCAGACATCTCCGAAAGAAGCTAACAAACCAGTTAGGGAGACGAGATACTGTTGGGCACGAAAGATATCACATAAAATGAAGCAAGAACCGATAGAGACAATGAATGAGGTCTGCCAGAATCGGGAGAATGGACACTTCCTAGCCCCTCTTCTTCTTCAGTGTCCCTCCCCCTTGGGCCGTGGCCGGGAATAACGCCTAGAGAGCGAAGGGTCTTGGTTTCCCTTTTGCAACACGACGCGTGCTCTCGAAGGTCATTAAGTCACTCAACAAACTTTTATTAACCTGCCTCATCCAAACCATGCCCTGGGTCTGGCAGACACCGGCGGAAGCAGACCTTCCTGAGACTAAGTCCCACCCTGGAGGGACTTCCCGTCCAATGAGGAGACGCAGGGTCAGGAGAAAGGTCAGTCGTGCAGGAAGATGGCGCTTGACGGCGGGGTCCGCGTTTAGGTGGCTCGCGCACAGTGCTCCCAGCATCTTGAGAACACACTCGATTTCACGTCCAGAATCTCCGTGAGCTTTTTCTAACACGGACTGGTGTAAATATAGAGCCATTAAAATGACAATGATTGTCCGTCTGCGTGTGACCCCAAACCGGTATGTGGGCCCCGTGGGGTGCGCATACCGTCTTGGGGGGCCGTCGATGGAGCAGAAAACGCCTCTGGGCTCCCTCCCCCTGCCTCTCGATCTGTAAATGGAGCCCGTGATGCCAGCCTCGCCAGAGCGGTTGGAAAAATTCTTCCCTTCCGGGCCCCCAACCCCCAGGCGTGAGGACAGGTGTCCCCGACGTGGCCGGGAGCCTGGGGACCTCCTAATTGTTATTTCCTAGGAAAAAGCAGTCAGGCTCCCATTTCACGAACCAGTGAGGAATTTGGGGATCCTGAGCTACCATCCGGCCCCCCCAGACATCACCCTTGCCTCCCCTCCTGGCCGCGGGGGACCCCTTCCCGGAACCCTGGCTGGCTGATGTCACAGACAGGTGATCTCGCTGTGACCAAGGAGATCTCAGTGGCCTGGGGGAGAGGGGAGAATGTTTCCCCCCGCCCCGACCCCCCATGTCTGTGGTGAAGTCGATCGAGTTACTGCTGCCCAAAGATGCCATCTACCTGGCGGGCTCCAGCGTCAAAGGGCAGGTGGTTCTAACCCTGAACAGCACCCTGGTGAACCCTCGTGAAGGTGGAGCTCGTGGGACGGGGTTACGTGGAGTGGAAGGAAGAAACCGGGGCCTCCCGCGATTACAGCAGAGATGTTATTTGCAACAACAAGGCCGACTACGTGCATAAGACAAAGACGTTCCCCGTGAAGGGTAAGGGCGAGGCTGGCAGCCAACCCTAGCCATGATAGGAAGCTGGGTCTGGAAGGGAAACACATCTGTTAGTCGATCAACAAACCTAGAAGGGAAGCCGTGCAGAACAATGACCATCAGATACACATAACGTGAAAATAAGACTAAGGAGCTGAGCGGAAGCCAGATATTCAGAATGAAGGTTCAAAGCTATCCCCTTGGAAAAATTCTATGCTTGGGCCAATGTCCACCGTTGGGAGGCCCATAAAACATCTTTCTTTTAATTTTCTGGATGAAATCTCCCTCTGGCAGTGAGACCCGAGGGGACAAAATAAGGACTCGTGTGAGCACAGGGAAAGAGACGGGAGACAGAAGCCCAGGCCAGAAGGCGAATTAATCCCACTTTCACCAGCGTCAGATCCCAAGTCTGGACAGACATCACGGGACCTGAGCGGTCAGGAAGGACCCGTCCTTTGCAAAATGTGTCCAGGGGGCTGGTCCTGGGGTTCCACTGCCACGCAGAACACTTGGCCAGGGCTGGCCCGAACCGACTTTAATTTTAGATTTTTAAATTTTAGATAGGGCCGTCGTGGAGGGTCTCCCAAGACACGACTGCCGAGCTCAGAGCTCAGATCTGAGTGAAGGGAGGCGGAGCAGCCCTGGGCGAGGAGAGCGACATGCCGGGCTTAGTACTCAGCAATTATGTCGCCCGTCTGGGTCCCCGTTAACCCGTCGGGATAACGGACCAGGAAAAAAATCCCACTTCATGAGATTATGTTGAGGATGCTATGATTGAATGGCATGTGGAGGACTTAGAAGAGGGCTGGGTATACAGTAAGTGCTTAATAAGTGTTGGTTCTTTCAACCGAAACACTCCCCCGCCACGGACCACCCCCAGCATCCGGGGGAGGGGGACTGTTTCCCATTTCCAGGCATTTCCCCTCAAAAGCATCAGCCCAAGCCTTCGATGGGTTCCTTCGTTTCTTTCAGAAACATTTATCAAGCACCTTCTGTGTACAACACTGTGTCACGGGCTGGGGATGCATCACTGAGTAAAACACAGTCCCTGCTGTCCTCGGCTGACCGTCAGGAGGGGAAAACACCATAAGGAGAGGGTTTTGCAGAAATGCAAGAAAAAAAATAATAAAACTTGGAGGTCCCAGAAGTGGGGGAGGCGGGATCCCTCCACGGTCCTCGGTCGCCACTCAGGCCATCAGCAAATATTAAGCACCTACTGTATGTGGGCCAGCGAGTTCTGCCTGCCCTGCTCGCTGCTGTCAACGCTGCCTAAAATAGCGTCTGACACACAGTCGGCGCTCAGGAAGTGTTTGTTGACTGAACGTGCGATGGACCTTCAGGGGCCGTGCGGGTCGCTCGGAATGCAGAGTCCAGTCTAGCTGCCAGGGACAGACAGGCCGAGTCTAGTAAAACCTCCCAGCCAACAGAGTAAATAAAGAGGAAGAAAAGAAAAAAAAAATGAACCCCCCAAAAAAAACTTCCAGAACCTTCTGATGGCGTTGGTGTGTTTCGCTTTCAGATAATTGGTTAAGTGCAGGCAGCCACATCTTTGACTTCCATTTCAACTTACCTCCCAGGCTTCCTTCTACCTTCAGCAGCAGAACGGGCCACGTCTCCTACTTCATACAGGCCTCCTGCATGGGCCGGGAGCACGTCCTGGCCAAGAGGAGGATGTACCTGTTGGTTCAAGGGACCTCGGATGGCCACCAAGAGAGCCCGGCGCAGGTAGCCACGGGGGCGGAGCGTGGCCGGGCTGGGCCCCGCAGGCAGGGGGGCAGGGGGCGGGCAGGGGACCCAGAAGGCGACATGCTGGGGGCTCCCCAGGCCCCCATACAGGGGCATCAGAAGGCAGGGCAGGGGCTGTCATGCACTGGGCGACGTCTGGGGACATCGGTGGCTGTCGCACTGTGGGGGGAGCTCCTGCATGAGTGGGTGGGTGGGGACCAGAGATGCTGCTCAGGCCCCCACAGCGCCCAGGACGGCCCCCTGCAAAGAACAATCTGGCCCTGAATGCCCTTGACCCCGCAGTCAGTCAAGCCCGAGCCCACTGTGACCCCCGGAGCGAGAGAGAGGCCAGGATGCTGTGACTCTCGGGGGGCCTTTGAGCCCCCAGACAATGGAGTTGGTGCCCCCCTGCACCTCCCCACCCCACAAATCCAGGAGAGGGGGCGGCCTCGGTCCCGCGGGAAGGAAGGGCCCTGCGGAGGTTTTCTGGCTGGCTTCTGGAGGCCAGGTGCAAAGGCGGAAGTTGGGGCGGGTGGAGCAACGTTGGCCAAAGTCGCTTCACCTCCCCCGGGGGACTCATTTGTTATCAGAAATGTGGTGGCAGAGGGGGCTGGCCTTTTCATTTCCGAGGCGCAGGTTATAATCTCAGTGCCCACCACCCACCTGCTGTGTGACCCTCCGCGAGTGGCATTCCCTCTCTGGGCCCCCATTTCCTGGTCTGTAAAATGGGCATGGAGACAGTGCTGGCCTCCTGGGTCGTGGAAGGAGCAGTGAGAGGAGGTAATGCCGGGCCTCGGCTTCGCCCAGTGCCTGGGCGTCACCCGTAAACCTTGTCGCTGCTGCCACCGTCGGTGTTCTTATCTGCATCACAAGGATCGTTGCTGGCCTGGCCAGCCGCAGGGGACAGTCCAGGAGGGTCCCAGGATGGGGAGAGGCTGGGAGGGGTGGGTCAGCCCTGAGAGGAGCAGACCAACTCAAGGCTGGCCCGACCCACTACGTGCTGTGTGACCCCGAGCTGGCTCCGTCCCCTCTCTGGGTGCCTGACTCCCTCTGGCTGCTTTGGGGGGGATAGACCATGGGGGGCAGGGGGAGGGCAGGAGCTGGGGGAGGAGGGCAGAGGCCACTGCTCTGGTCCAAGTAAAGGCAGACTCTTGACCCCTAAGTCTTGACCTCAGAGTAGCCAGAGGGAGACAGGTGATGACCTTCCTCTGCCCACAGGGTAAAGGCTGGAGTCCTTCCCACTGCCCCCCAGGCCCCGCACGACCTGCCCCGTCCCTTCCCTGCCCTCCCTCCTCCCTCTGCTCCAGCCACACGGGCCTCCTCGCTGTTCCTCCCACAGGCCTGCCCCAGGGCCTTTGCACGGGCCGTGCCTCTGCCTGGAACACTACATACAGCCTTCCTATCCTTGCTCCTCACCCTTCCCACCTTTACTCAAAAGCCACATCTTCGGCCGCACCTATCCAGATTCAAATGAGCATGCGCTTTGCCCAGCCGTTTCCCTTCTAGAAACTTCTCCTCCTGATATCCCTTCACGTGTGTGAGGTGACCTCTGGCAGCACCGTTTGTGGTGGCAAAACACCGGAATCCGCCTAAATGTTCGTCGCTAAGGGGATTCAAGTAGGAGGATGGCATCAAAGGAATGTTCTGTAAATACATGACAGACAGACAGACGGACAGACAGACGGAGGGGCTCGCCCTGTCGGGATCTCCTAGGTACCGGGTGGCGCGAATGCAGCCAAGTTCAGAGCAGCAGGTCTAGTTTGGCACGTTGGTGATAAAAACAAGAAACGCACTTCCTCGCAGGTGCGACAGACGTCCCCGGAGGGAGACCAGAGAAACGGGCAACGGACGCCGTCCCCAGGGCGGGGGGCGGCCGGCCAAACGCTTCCCCTTGCAGTTTTCTTTTTTTAACAGCCTGATTGAGATATAATTCATGTACCTTATAATTCATCCACTGAAAGTGGCAGTTCAGTGGGTTTGGGTACATTCCCGTAGTGGCACAACCATCCTCTCTGTCTAGTTCTAGAACATTCCGTGAACCTGAAAAGAAGCCCCGTCCCCATCAGCAGTCACCCCCACCTGCACCCCCAGCCCCTGGCCCCCACGAGCCCGCTCTCTGTCTGTAGATCTGACTGTTCTGGATGTTTCCCGTCCATGGGTGTCACACGCCATGTGTCCTTCTGTGTCTGCTTTTCTCCCTGAGTGTCGTGTGTGCAGGTCCGTCCACGTGCGGCTGTGTCAGGGCCTCGCTCCTCTTCACGGCTGCGTAATATTCCGGCGTGTAGGGTGGACACGTGTGTGTGGATCCATCATCCACTGATGGGCATTTGGGTTGTTTCCGTTTCCTGGTGACGAAAGCTTTGTGGGGACGTGTTTTCCATTTCTCTCGACTAGACGCCCAGGAATGGAATTGCCGGGTTGGATGGTAACCGTTTCCCCTCTTGAGGACCCGCCAGGCCATTTTCCGTGGTGGCCGCCCGCTTTCCCATCCCCTCCAGCCGTGCGTGTGGGTCCCGATTTCTCCACATCCCCCCCCCCCACTCTTTGTACCTTTGGGGTTTTGAACGACGTGGCCCATCCCGCCTTCCAGCAGTGGGGACCGTTCGGGAGACGAGCTTGTCCCCAAAACCTTGCCTGACCATCGATGCTCAGGGAGCCCCCCACCCGGACCCCCTGAGCGCCCCATTCTGGGTCCCGCCACAGCCTCCTCTCCATCCCTGTTGGAAACGCCCTGGTTCCTTGTCTGCATCCCGTGGATGCATC